TGTGAACAAGTTTGACTTAGGTAGAAGGAACACTGATCTCCATAATGGTAACCATATACACTATAACCCAAAACAAATGTTTTAGTTAATACAACTATGACCCCTATACATTTGTTTACAATAATTTAAAAGTCCCCCAAAGCCTCCTTTCTTTGCAAGGTCCACTTATTTAAATATTCCGGTGCGAGAACCACTGATCCCGAACACAATATGCAGATTTGCAGACAGACATGACCTCAGCTCAATCTTTCATTAATTGACAGTTTGTTCTAAAGACAGAGAATGCATTAATGCAATTCTGACTTTACAACACGCAATTGCGACTTTATATCTCGCAATTCTGACTTTATAACGCAATTGCGACTTTATATCTTGCAATTCTGACTTTATAACGCAATTGCGACTTTATATCTCACAATTCTGACTTTATAACACAAAATTGCGACTTTATATCTCGCAATTCTGACTTTACAACACGCAATTGCGACTTTATCTCACAATTCTGACTTTATAACACAATTGCGACTTTATATCAATCAATTCTGACTTTCTAACACAATTGCGACTTTATCTCGCAATTCTGACTTTACAACACGCAATTGCGACTTTATATCTCACAATTCTGACTTTACAACACGCAATTGCGACTTTATATCTCACAATTCTGACTTTACAACACGCAATTGCGACTTTATATCTCGCAATTCTGACTTTATAACACAATTGCGACTTTATATCTCGCAATTCTGACTTTATAACACGCAATTGCGACTTTATATCTCACAATTCTGACTTTACAACACGCAATTGCGACTTTATATCTCGCAATTCTGACTTTATAACACGCAATTGCGACTTTATCTCGCAATTCTGACTTTACAACACGCAATTGCGACTTTATATCTCACAATTCTGACTTTACAACATGCAATTGCGACTTTATATCTCACAATTCTGACTTTACAACACGCAATTGCGACTTTATATCTCGCAATTCTGACTTTATAACACAATTGCGACTTTATATCTCGCAATTCTGACTTTATAACACGCAATTGCGACTTTATATCTCGCAATTCTGACTTTACAACACGCAATTGCGACTTTATATCTCGCAATTCTGACTTTATAACGCAATTGCGACTTTATATCTCACAATTCTGACTTTATAACACAAAATTGCGACTATATCTCGCAATTCTGACTTTACAACACGCAATTGCGACTTTATATCTCACAATTCTGACTTTCTAACACAATTGCGACTTTATATCAATCAATTCTGACTTTCTTACACAATTGCGACTTTATATCTTGCAATTCTGACTTTACAACACGCAATTGCGACTTTATATCTCACAATTCTGACTTTACAACACGCAATTGCGACTTTATATCTCGCAATTCTGACTTTATAACACACAATTGCGACTTTATTTCACGCAATTCTGACTTTATTACCTGCAATTGCGACTTTATATCAATCAATTCTGACTTTATATCTCGCAATTCTGAGAAAAAAAGTCAGAATTGTGAGATAAAAAGTCGCAATTACCTTTTTTTATTTTTTATTCTGTGGCGGAAACAAGCTTCCATAAGTATGTCTTCCATGTATAAGTAATATTTTCTGTACACATTGCATACCACATTCGTTGACATTTAGTGGGTTGTATGCCATTCTCGACATAGTCTCGACTCACTCACCACACAGGAAACCACATCACATGTTGCTCTGAAAAACACACATTATACTTGTGCCTCACACACTACTGAGATGGGTCTCTCTATTTGTTTAAGCATGCCAATGTTTATAACTCATTCAGCACTAGAGGCATTGTGTCTGTGTTCAAGTGGCAACAAAAGGAATATACAGTAGAATCATCTATAATAGATGTTCATTTCTATTGGATTCAACAGCATAGTGCAGTGGAAACAATACTATGCTGTTGAATCCTAAGGGGACATAATTGTATCTTCTTGGGAACAATGATGTGTGAATGAAACATGTTTGTGTTCACGAGTGTGGGTGTAGCGGGGTTCCCTGTTATGTTGAATGATGATAAAAGCTTAACAGAAGCATTTGTCCTGTCAGCAGTGAGATAGAGGAACATGTGCCATTGTGCCAGAGGACTCCATGTGCCTGCGTTCCCAACACTGTGTGCCTGTAGAATAAAGAGAGTTGGTGTCATAATCTCATTTCTGATGTCATTGTTAGCTGACATGTAGTTGCAGAGTTACTTATAGTTAGTAGAATGTCTGGTGAAATAAAGTGTTTCTTCTTGTTACTTCTTGCACCTCTAGGAGTAATTCTTCTAGTTGAATTATTAATTGACAAATAACCTTAGTTAGGAACTAAACTATTTACACAAAAATTCAAATTCATTGACTTCTTTTAAAGCTTGTATATACACTCACCGGCCACTTTATTAGGTACCCCTATGCTAGTAATGGGTTGGACCCCCTTTTGCCTTCAGAACTGCCTCAATTCTTCGTGGCATAGATTCGACAAGGTGCTGGAAGCATTCCTCAGGGAGTTTGGTCCATATTGACATGATGGCATCACACAGTTGCCGCAGATTTGTCGGCTGCACATCCATGATGCGAATCTCCCGTTCCACCACATCCCAAAGATGCTCTATTGGGTTGAGATCTGGTGACTGTGGAGGCCATTTTAGTACAGTGAACTCATTGTCATGTTCAAGAAACCAATTTGAAATGATTAGAGCTTTGTGACATGGTGGAAGTAGCCATCAGAGGATGGGTACATGGTGGCCATAAAGGGATGGACATGGTCAGAAACAATGCTCAGGTAGGCCGTGGCATTTAAACGATGCCCAATTGGCACTAAGGGGCCTAAAGTGTGCCAGGAAAACATCCCCCACACCATTACACCACCACCACCAGCCTGCACAGTGGTAACAAGGCATGATGGTTCCATGTTCTCATTCTGTTTACGCCAAATTCTGACTCTAACATCTGAATGTCTCAACAGAAATCGAGACTCATCAGACCAGGCAACATTTTTCCAGTCTTCAACTGTTCAATTTTGGTGAGCTCTTGCAAATTGTAGCCTCTTTTTCCTATTTGTAGTGGAGATGAGTGGTACCCGGTGGAGTCTTCTGCTGTTGTAGCCCATCCGCCTCAAGGTTGTGCGTGTTGTGGCTTCACAAATGCTTTGCTGCATACCTCGGTTGTAACGAGTGGTTATTTCAGTCACTGTTGCCCTTCTATCAGCTCGAACCAGTCTGGCCATTCTCCTCTGACCTCTGGCATCAACAAGGCATTTCCGCCCACAGAACTGCCGCTCACTGGATGTTTTTTCTTTTTCGGACCATTCTCTGTAAACCCTAGAGATGATTTTGCGTGAAAATCCCAGTAGATTAGCAGTTTCTGAAATACTCAGACCAGCCCTTTTGGCACCAACAATCATGCCACGTTCAAAGTCACTCAAATCAACTTTCTTCCCCATACTGATGCTCGGTTTGAACTGCAGGAGATTGTCTTGACCATGTCTACATGCCTAAATGCACTGAGTTGCCGCCATGTGATTGGCTGCTTAGAAATTAAGTGTTAACGAGCAGTTGGACAGGTGTACCTAATAAAGTGGGCGGTGAGTGTATAGTGATACTATTGGTGTTGTAACGGATTAAAGAGCCTGACTCAAAGTAGATTTGAAAAAATCATTGCATACTTATAAAACTCGGCTGCTTTAATAGGTATATAAGATCAAAATCAAATCTGTTAAAATGGTTTTACACATTTTTTTTTAAAGTTTATCAAACTGTAATTGAGACTCCAATGTTACATTTAAACTTTCTCTGTTTGATTTTGTTTTGATCAATCGTAAAGATAAAATCAGCAATTGCTGATTTTTAATAGAGAACACATTGAAACATTTTTCATAATGTCAGAAAATTATTTTGCATCCACAGAGACGATTAAATCATTTTATTTGTTAACATTTTGAATACCGTGCTTGGAGTATTTGCTGATACATAAATAACGCTATTATCTGCATACATTTGACAATTAGTATTTATTCAAAATTCTGGAAAATTATTCATGTAAAATGTAAAAAAAATATTAAAAAATAAACGGTCCCAGAACTGACCCTTGAGGAATACCCATTCTAGTACTTTAGTTAGAGGGCCTTATACCATCGCATATACTTGTACCCAGGGTTTAAAATGAACTTTTCACTCAATTTCACTCAGCCAATTTGGCTACTACATTTTTTTTAAACTCAACATACTGAATTCAGCGCATAAACCTCTCCTCCATTGACATCAATTTAAAAAAAAGCCAAAAAGTGGCCTTGTGTCCTCAATTTCAAACCCTGCTTAACATATAAAAGTTGTTTGCATAACACCTGATTCATAAATATCTTAACAAATCTGTAACATTTTATTTTGATGGTCCCCTTTAGACATTCTGTTGACTATATATAACCTTGTACCTACATGTCAACTCATTCATTACAGTATTAGTAGACAGTCTGCTAAATATCTGCCCAACAGACATTCTGCTGACTGTAAGTAACTTTGCAAGTACATGTCAACTTATTCTACTAACCCTAACAGTCTACTAATACTCTAGTAATACTCTGAGAGTTAGTTGACATGTGCAACTTTATTTATAGTCCACAGAATATCTAAATGGACCATCAAAATAAAATCTATTTGGTATGTCACGTGAATGTCTCGAGCTCTTGTCTGGAATATGTAACAGTGATAATCTTCATGTAACGGGACTGCTCTCTGCCTCGGGCCTGAGCATGAGCACATTTAGAGGACTGAGGGTCATCAGAAGTCGTCATGAGTTCGCCCTGAGATTAAGAAGACTGTGTTTGCTCAGTTTTGTTGTAGCGCTTAACAGAATAAATGCCGAACTCCATATCGCAGGGGAAAATGTATGTTCACTTTATATGTGCTTTTATCATGACTAATTTAAACTAAATCATGTTGGTTATACACTTACATATGTTTCTCTATATATTACAGGGTGCATCTAATAGATGATCTGTCATATGAGGACCTCAAGAAATGCTACCGTGGATCTGTAAGTACCAGATGGCATACGATTCAGTTTCATTATGTAATGTCTAACCTGTATAACAGTGACCTGAAAAATAGTTTGACATTTTATTCGTATTTTAAAATGTCTGAATGTATATTTGAACATATATACGGTGTTTCTAAGTATTTTCTATCAGATGAGACATGTTTTTTTATATGTCCCCAGATTCTGTTTGTATAATATATGACATTATTCTGTCATAAACCAAGAAAGGAGATCTGTAAAGCTTTCCATTGACATTTACACTGTAAAAAATAAACCGTAATTTCTACGGTAAAAAAACGGCAGCTGTGGTTGCCAGAACTTTACCGTCAAAAATACGGTAGCAACGTTATTGGTTTTACAGACTTAACTTAAAATTTACAGTAATAAACCGTATTTTATTATCTGATATAATGTTAATTTACCGTCCTATTGAAGTATTAATATCTGTTTTGTACCATTGAAATACACTGACAGCCAACAATCACAGCAGTGATGAGTCACATGATCAATCAAAGCTCATCACAAGCAGCTTTTCCACAAGAAAGTTAATAATACATAGAAGCTGCACAAGTTCATTCGCACAAATAGAACACACATGAAATTTTAAAAATGCAATAAACATTCATTTAACAACATTAAATGTAACACAAAACCCTGATTAGAAAAAGAAAACTATGAAGAAACATAGTTATTTCAACAGAAATACATCAAGTGTCACGCAGGGAATTGTGGGAATGTCAATTTACGGTTTTTCACTGTAAATTATACAACGAGTTGTTCTTTTGCACTTTTAAAAACTGTAAATTTAACGGTATTTTAGTAAAATTACATTAAATGTACCATTAGATCTATCACAGTTATTTACCGTTTATAGTGAGGAAACTTTCTGTTAACCAATTAACAGTTTTTCACAGTCTTTTACCGTTAAAATCACGATCATTTTTTACAGTGCATTAATCTCAATTCATCCTGTTTGTCAGAATACACAGATATTTTATGTTTTGCTCCCAGGTGGTGTAGTTACAGCAGGGACTAATAGGGCAATACTATTTTAAGTTCTGGATAAGATATGATGAATAAATCCTCTTTTTTTATACAATCAATGTTGTTTTCTGAACAATAAAAATATCCTCCTCCAAAAATCAGATTTTTAGTTCCAACAAATCCTGAGGTGGAAAAAGCACCATTCAAGGAATGACTCAGCATTTTTTAAATGATTTTAGCCACCTGGTGTCGTAGTGATGTTTAGTGAGTGTATGAAGCGCGCTCTCAGGAGAATAAGTGTGTGTGTAGCCTCCGTCACAATAATTATGAACACGTTCCACTAACATTTGACACAAGAAAATGACACAGTGCTTTTTGTACATTTGTGCTAAGTTTTCCTAAAAATAAATGCCATTTGTTTTGATATCTTTTACTTGTGTATTAAGTGTCTAAATACTTTTTGGCTCTCTGTTTGTACAAATGATGATGCTAATTTGCTAGATTTCAGAGATATTGTGACCACAGCTTTGCTACTCAGGAAGTTTGAGTCAATATTGCGATCTTGTCTGTACTTGTGTTCTTGTGAAACTCATCATTCGCTGCACAAGTTCTGTTTCAATTCAAAGTTCAAGTACAGATCAAATCTCGGATGAGTTCTTGATCCGCCCCTTGCATCAAGAGGAGACTTGTGTGTGCGGACTTGAGACAGCCAGGTATCCCAGAATGCATCTCGCATCAACCAGCAAGCGTCAATGGTGGAGGAGAAAACCCGCGTAATTTAAAAATACTACTGTTATTGTGTCATGAAATGTAGTTTTAAGAGTTTTCAGGCGAGAATGTAGTTGTTTAAAGCTCAAATCTGTGGTTTATCTGTCAAGATTGCTCCTATTTAAAAATTTGATATGACGTTTTCGGAGCTTCCTCGGCTAGTCCTTCTGACGTTTGCCGCTGGCTCTTATGTCTCTGTAAAGGTTAAACGAGACATATAATTTGTCTCGTGTATATTTAACAGGCAACCTTTGGTCTCATGAATCTATAATTTGTCCCCTGGCAAATCTTTTTTTTTTTATTTAACTTAGCCTAGAGCGCTTACTTGGTACGTTTGACTGAATTGTTTGCTTTATTTCTTATTGTATAGCTTACATATACTTTTATAATGGCTATTATTGATAATTAATTCTGACATTTAGCAAAAAGAGACAGAGTTGTGTTTTATATCATATTTCATTCAATTACAGGGAAGATAATCAGACTACATATTGCCCGAACCACATTTTAATGTTTAATATTTTTCAAATGTAAACTAAAAGAGGCAGGGTTGTGTTTTATAATTCATTTTGTTATTAATATTCATGCAGAGAAGATCATCACTGTAGGCTACTTGTTGCCTGAACCACATTTGTATGGCTATTAATATGTTTAAGATTTTTAAAATTAAAACGAAAATAGGCAGAGTGGTGTCCTATAACATATTTTGTTTTATTGCTGCCTAAAATATAGGCTAGGCTACATACAGAGTAGGCCGTAGTATTATAGCCAATAAAGTTTAATGATATTTTTCTTACAAAAACCCATCGCTTCGCTTCAGAAGGCATTTATTAACCCCATGGATTATTTTTTTATGATGGATGGATGCACTTTTTTTGTATTTCAAAATCTTGCCTCCCATTATAAAGCTCGGGAGAGCCAGAATATAACTCTGATTGTATTCGTCTAAAGAAGAAAGTCATATACACCTAGGATGGCTTGAGGGTGAGTAAATCATTGGGATCATTTTTGGGTGAACTATCCCTTTAAAGATTACGAGGGCACATGAATTAAAAAAATAAGATTATGTGCACTGATAAATCATTTATAATAAACACTGCACTCAGGGTTACACATTCATGGTGCACTCCTGATTGGATCAGCCCATCTACTTAATGAACATCATCCAGCAGGAAGCAAGAGTGAGACACACACACACACACACACACACACACCAGTGAAGACAAATGCGCTAGAAACAAGCCGTCGAGGTGCAGTGGGTGTTTCACGCCTGTAGAGAGAGAGAGAGAGAGAGAGAGAGAGAGAGAGAGAGAGAGAGAGAGAGAGAGAGAGAGAGAGAGAGAGAGAGAGAGAGAGAGAGAGAGAGAGAGAGAGAGAGACGCTTGTGAAGGAAGAAGAAACGCGGTTTACTTCACTTACAGGAATAGGACGAAGCTGAGCTGAAGCTGAGCTGGCTCTCGGGTCCCGGGACCGTGTAACTGCAGTACACACACTGTCTCTCGGCTCGTGTGGAAAGTGTGTGTCGTGTCAGCATGCTCAGTTTGGTGCAGAGCTCGCATCCCCTACGAGAGAGAGCCAGGCTGCAGAAGAGCTGTGCGAAACAGCTGATTCCTCTGTCCTCTGCTTCTTCACAGACCGTCAGCAAGTATAATGCGCAGTTCCACAAGCTTTTCCAGAGCGTTCCCAAAGACGAGCTTCTCATGAAGGGTACGTGCTGTCATTCTCCGTCTACTGCAACCTCTTATTTCACTTTACTGCTTCTAGCATCTGTCAAGTGACCTTGTGAAATGATTCTTTTAATAGTGCAGCTCTAGTTTCCTCATTAACATTGCTTGTTTTAAAGTTTGGGTTATGTGAATTTTGCGCATTGTTAATAAAATATCCATTAAATACAGAGGGGGGTAAATCAGAAAATTCTAGTGAAAATGCTTCCTTTTTTTAATTTAATAAAAAGTAATAATATACACAATGTTTCATTTACAAGCATTATTATTTGTATTATTATTATTTTTAAGACAATAATAATAATTTAAGCGTAATCTAAACAATATTCACTACCGTTCAAAAGTTTTAGATTGGTAAGAGAAGTCTCTTCTGCTCACCAGAGCTGCATTTATTGAATCAAAAATACAGTAAAAACATTAATATTATGAAATATTTTTTACTGTTTTCTATGTAAATATATTGTAAAATGAATTTTCAGCATCATTACTCCAGACTGTCACATGACCCTTCAGAAATCATAATAATATGCTGATTTGATGCTCAAGAAACATTTCTGATTATTATCAATGATGAAAACAGTTGTGTTAAAAAATGGTCAGGGTTCTTAGGTGAAAAGAAAGTTCAAATGCTCAGAATTTATCTGAAATAAAAAGCTTTTCTAACATTATACACTACTGTTTTTTTTTTTTTTTGGATGAAATAAACGCAAACTTGGTGAGCAAAAGAGACTTAATTCAAAAACATAAAAATATCATAATTATATCTTACCGATATAAAACTTTTGAACAGTAGTGCACATAGGCTAGTTATATTAAATATTTCATAATATTATTTATAATTCACAAGCAGAATAACTGCGGTGAGAGGTTTATGTACATTAATTAAATTGATTTAACTTAGTGAAAAATCTTCATCAAGTCATAACTTTTTTGTATTCCTTCCAAATATTTTATAATCCTGAAACTTTAACTTCAAGGATTAAATGATATTTGGAATTCCAGATTTTCAGTGTTTGGACCCCAATGTATTGCTTGTTCATCTTGATGTTTGATAACGTTGTTGTGATCTATCTGACATTTGAACTGCTTTGAGCCGCCATTGAAGTGAAACAAGACGTCAGAATCTGATGCCGTTCTTGAACTGTCACTCGAGAGTATCAGCATACTTCAGTTCTCTTGTGTAAGTGCACTTGTGACCTCTTCTTTAGTGTACTCCTGTGCCCTGCTGCGAGACATCCTCCTGCAAGGCCGACTCTACATCTCTCGAAACTGGCTGTGCTTCTACGCCAACCTCTTCGGTAAAGACATCAAGGTGAGCGTCACGTCTTCAGCTTATGACTAGAGCTCGGAGAGACATGACTAGAAGCTTCATTCCCTGGAAACGGTGGCATATGTTTGATTTGAAAACTGAACGTTATATGTAACTATTTTCCCACTGTATACCCAAAGAACCAAAGCCTATTACCACAATATAGTGCTTTTCACACTTGAACTAGTTAACCCTGGGTCATTGTAAACCCGGTAAACGGGGTAAAGCGTTCCACACTGTACGTTCCTAAACGCTGGGTTTTATAGTTAAAGGGTTAGTTCACCCAAAAATGAGAATTCTGTCAGTAATGACTCTCCCTCATGTTGTTCCAACCCCGTAAGACTTTAGTTCATCTTCGTAACATAAATTAAGATGTTTTTGATTAAATCTGAGAGCTGGATCACTTCTCCATAGGCTTCTAAGGGATTGAAACTTGCCGGCCCAGAAAAGTTATTAAAGACATTGTTAAAATAGTAGACTTGTAGTCAAGACCGCCTAAACCGCGACCAAGACACTACCAAGACCAGAGGGTATCGAGACCAAGACCGAGACCAAGTCGAGACCGGAAGAGAAATTAAATATAATGTGGTTTTCATTATAACAATAATTATGTAATAAGTTTTGTGCCCCCCCACTATTTCCCAATGTAAGATTTTGTTTTGCATTGCCTGCCTATCTGCCGATTTCGAAGTCTCCAAATGAATCCATTCTGCAACTTTTAAATACATAATTATATTTTTAAAAATGAAATTATAGGCTTAAGTGCAGGATCCGAAAGTTGGTCGTTTTGTCGCTATGGTTACACACACACACACACACACACACACACCATTGGCGGTGCGCTCAAAGTCATCTGTCAGTTGTGCGGTTACCCAAAATCTCCTGAATAAAGATAAAACCCATCATCTCACTGATATGTGTTTTACTAAATATTTATACATCAAAAACTGTACATGATATGTGTTTTTTAAATCAAGTGATCAAGTGCTCGTTGCCGCTGCGATCAGTGGCGCGGATACAATGTTTTCTCGTGTGGCTCGCGCAGACCGCACTGTCTGCACTTGGACGCGCGCTTCAATCCGTTGCGGATACTCTCTATTCGTTCTGGTGAAATCACAAAACATACGTGTCCCTGCTTGATATACAACCACTGATGAACATAATTGGTTGCATTATCGAATGTTGTGTCGTCGTGGATATTGTAGTATTGTATTGCTAAATCCCCCGACCACTATGTCGGTCTGAGACAGCGAGACTTAGACAAGACCGAGACCACGTAAAAGTGGTCTCGAGACATACATCACTAAAGTCCAAGTGACTACACTGGCTCAACCTTAAAGGATTAGTTCACTTTAAAAAAAACTTTTGCTGATAATTTACTCACCCCCATGTCATCCAAGATGTCCATGTCTTTCTTTCTTCAGTCGAAAAGAAATTAATGTTTTTGATGAAAACATTCCAGGATTTTTCTCCATATAATGCACTTTGCTGGGCACCAAACGGTTCAAGGTCTAAATGACCGCTTCAGTGCAGCTTCAAAGGGCTTTAAACGATACCAGACGATGAATAAGGGTCTTATCTAGCGAAACGATCGGTCATTTCAAAAATAAATAAAAAAGTTAAAGTTTTATAGGCACAAATGCTCGCCTTGCGAACTCTCCTGTTCGAACTCGTTCATCAAAATGAACGAATCTTTTTTCGAGTCATTGACTCGAAAAAAGATTTGTTCATTTTGATGAACGAGTCAATGACTCGAAAAAAGATTAGTTCATTTTGATGAACGAGTTCGAACAGGAGAGTTCGCAAGGCGAGCATTTGTGCCTATAAAACTTTAACTTTTTTATTTATTTTTGAAATGACAGATCGTTTCGCTAGATAAGACCCTTATTCATCGTCTGGTATCGTTTAAAGCCCTTTGAAGCTGAACTGAAACGGTCATTTAGACCTTGAACCGTTTGGCTACCATTGAAGTCCATTATATGGAGAAAAATCCTGGAATGTTTTCATCAAAAACATTAATTTCTTTTCGACTGAAGAAAGAAAGACATGGACATCTTGGATGACATGGGGGTGAGTAAATTATCAGCAAAAGTTTTTTTTAAAGTGAACTAATCCTTTAAGGTTGAGCCACTGTAGTCACTTGGACTTTAGAGAGTAAAGTACACTACTCCTTTAAGTTTATCAAGCGACGAGAATACTTTTTGTGAAAAAAACCCCGAAAACCCCCCCGACTTTATTCAACTATTAATTTCCTTTTCTGTGGGCCTCGAGTTAGTTCACATAGTGTAACAGCGCAGCGCTTCTGGGTTGTACGATGAACGAAAGTCTTACGGGGTTGGAACAACATGAGGGAGAGTAATTACTGACAGAGTTTTCATTTTTGGGTGAACTATCCCTTTAAGGGCTGTTCACACCAAGATTGATAACTAAAGATAAGTTGGCGATAACTATAGTAGCACCCACACCAGCGGCGATATCGTTCTGTTTATTTTAAGCACGCTACACTTTTGTCGCTTGCCGCGTTAAAACCTTGAGCTCTTTAAAGTCTGGTGGATTCTGATTGGCTGTCATTGTTTTTATCGGTCATCAGCTGAATTGTTTTTATTGTGAATCTGAAAGGGATTTCATTGATGTTGTTTCTCTGTGCCGTTATCGGTATTGTTGTGGTGTGAACTTTGCTATGATTTTTAGGAGTATATCTTTACCGTTATCATCATTATAGTTATCGGCACAGAAAAATTATACCATTGGAATCACTTTAAGAATTTTTTTTCTCCAGCTGATGAACGATAAAAACACTGACAGCCAATCAGAATCCATCCTGCATTAAAGTGGTTGAGCATTTAAAGCAACAGATGCTTAGAATAAACAATGATATCGTCCGCTGGTGTGGACACTAATAAAGTTATCGTTATAGTTATCTTTATAGTTATCGTTCTTGGTGTAAACGGGCCTTCTCCCTAAAGTTACATTTTTATTAGCCATGTCACAGCTTAATTTCATAATTTCAATAAATAGCTGGGAATATTTTGGTAGTATCAATTCCAGTGTACTTTGTACTGTTACTGCATAATAGATCAATATTATAAAACCTGTGAAAAGTATGATATTATTAATTCAAAAATTATATAGATTGTAAATAATCGTATAGATCAACAGTGTTTTGTTCACTTTCAGCTGCGCGCCATGTTGCAGTTTGTTATGCTGAGTGAAGCGAAATGTTTTATCGTTCCTTTGTGCAACACGTTATTTAGTAATTCGATGAAGCCGGTCCAGTTTCCATCCTTGAGAGGGAAAATGTTGCGTGCAAGAATTCGTAAACGAAGCTACACTTTTTTTCCTTTTTCTCTGGCACTTTCTCTTGCCTCTCAGGTGGCCATTCCTGTTGCGTCTGTGCGGATGGTGAAGAAACATAAGACAGCGGGTTTGGTTCCCAATGGCTTGGCTATCACCACAGACAGCAGTCAGAAGGTGCGTTTCCACTGGGTTCCAGGTCACCGACCGGCAGATTGAAATACAAAGCTTAGTCAGAACATGCTGCGCCAAACACTGGAAATGCAAATGGATGCGACACTGAGACTCCAGGTCACAGATGAACCCTTGACTTCATCAGCATTTATCACACATTTTATACGTTTTTGCTTAGTGAACTGTTTAATTCTTGTTAGGAAAGGAACACCATTATTCAGCAGTGCAAAGATCTGTGATCAGATGTATGAATTATTATTTAGAGGTGAAACGAATGTCGAAATCATAGCTCAGATAATTTTGTCTTGTAGAATTTAATGGTAAACATTCGAGTTCCTATTGAAATCTGAGGTTTGATTGCAGACTCTGATATCTTGGCAAATATCAGCACAGTTTGTGACTTATTTTATAGCTCTTTTGAATCTCTAGAAATTTTTTTTTTTTTAATTTTTCTCAGAAATTGCTAAATTTCACAAATACTTGCAAAGAAATGGCAGGTAACTATGGGAGCTTGTTTCCGCCATGGAATAAAACTATTCAAAAGATCATTTTGAAGACAATTTGAACATAACTCTGACTTTTTTCCCGCAATTGCAAGTATATCTCGCAATTCTGACTTATTTTCTCTGAATTTTAAGATATAAATTCGCAATTGCGAGTTATAAACTCCGGTTCTGAGGTAAAAAGACACGAGAGATTATTGCACTCATTTTTTTTACTCAGAAATAGCTAAATTAAACAAATACTTGCAAAGAAATGGCAGGTAACTATGGGAGCTTGTTTCCGCCATGGAATAAAACTATTCAAAAGATAATTTTGAAGACAATTTGAACATAACTCTGACTTTTTTCCCGCAATTGCAAGTATATCTCACAATTCGGACTTATTTTCTCTGAATTTTGAGATATAAATTCGCAATTGCGAGTTATAAACTCCGGTTCTGAGGTAAAAAGACGCGAGAGATTATTGCACTGAAAAAATTTTTTACTCAGAAATTGCTAAATTTCACAAATACTTGCAAAGAAATAGCAAGAAACTATGGGAACTTGTTTCCGCCATGGAATAAAACTATTCAAAAGATAATTTTGAAGACAATTTGAACATAACTCTGACTTTTTTCCCGCAATTGCAAGTATATCTCGCAATTCTGACTTATTTTCTCTGAATTTTGAGATATAAACTCACAATTGCGAGTTATAAACTCCGGTTCTGAGGTAAAAAGACAGAGGATAATGCATTGCTCAGGAGATTTAATGGATCTTTATTGTTATTTAAATAGAGACAATTGTTGACAATACTGTAGCAAGATTGTACAGCTATAAACACAGCTATGATTTAGTCTTGAAAGAATTTAATGAAAAATGTGTCATTAAGATTTGCTTTTGCACACATTGCTTTTTATTCAGTCTCATTCAACTCTAGAGGAAATTCATCTCAAAGTATTTTTCTTTCCATTGGGAGTGTCAGTGGACTTGGCATCAGATTCTTTTCAGTTAAAACTTCAGTTAGCTCATATTACTGAACTTGTCCGAGCGGATATGAGCACGGCATTCATGTCGAAGAGTGTTTAGAGCAGTTTTATTGGAGATTGCTTTGACGATTAATTCCTGTAAATAGTCTGTAATTCTATAGTTCTCAAAAGCAGTCATTTACTTCCTGTTCAGTAAAAGCAGAACAAAACGACATTGTGAAAAATGGATATTGCTGCCTTGAATTGCACCTGGTAAAATCCTAGATGGACAGTTGGTATTGCGACTACTATGGATTCAAGTTGGAATCAAAATTCAGAAGCAACTGAATCATAAACATTGAATGGTGGCAAATTTTCTTTTTACTTGCATCTCTTTTACACAACCTATATACTTTATTTATACATGGCATCTCCCAAATAATGAATTAAAGTCGGCATGAAATAGAAGTTTCCTCCCTATTGTGACGTATATCCGAATCAAACGGCTTCTCGAACAAGAATAAATGTAGGCGGGGCTTGATCTTGTCTGTGGGGAATTGATTGGATGGTTGTGGTTTGCTATTGGTCGATCTCATGTGAGTGACAGGTTTCCCCGCCTTCGTCATCAGAGAAGAGATGTTGCTGCAAGAGGGAGGGGAAGATATTTTAAATAATGATGTGCACGGATTAATCATTTAAAATAATAAATACTGCAATATACCATTTAAAAAAAAGCTCAAGTTTGATTTCATGGTGACTTTAATTTGCGTGAAGCATATTGAAATATAACTTCCACTTCTATCCACTGTCGTTTGCAATCATATTTTTTTATCTTTTTCAAGTGAACATGAACCTTCAACAGTCGGGTATCATTGAGAATTCATTTGGTCATTCATCTGCACATAATTTCATTATTTTTTCCCACTTGAAGGTTGCATTTGTTTTGAATTAATCCATGGGATCGGCTTTCACACACTCTTAGTGATCCTTTTCCTGGTAGTGAGATTATATGTGGCTACATTGTGAAATTAAAACAGAGTGGTTTGTCTCAATCTCAATCTCTAATCTCTGCTGAAAAATCCAGCTAAAATCAGTTTAAGGTGGTAAATGTGTCTTGGAACATAAAAAAATAAAGGTTCTTTATTGGTATTTATGGTTCCATTTAAGAACCTTTAACATCCATGGAACCTTTCCATTGCACTAAATGTTCTTTTAAAGTAGAAAATGGTTCTTTAGATTATTAAAATATTCTTCATACCAAGAAAATGCTGGTTCTTTTAAGAACTGATCCCTGAAAGGTTCTTTGGGGAACTAAAAATGGTTCTTGGCATCACTGTGAAAACATAACGTGTGGTTCAAGTTGGTTTAGAGGGTTGACCAGATGGTTGAACAGCTTTCACCAGCTTTTAGGTCATGAAGAAGCCATGTTTTGGACAACGGTAGCTATTTTTTAAAGGTTCAGGACCTTCAACCAACACTGGACCCTATGTTTTCCCCCACTGGACCAGTTTGAAACATGTTTCAAAACCAATAGCTGGTTTTAGCTGGGTTTTCCAGCAGGAATTTTGGTTGACACGCCACACCCACCATGTATTATAATGTTTTGATATGGTTGTGTCCTCTCCTTGCACAGTACGTGTTTGTGTCTCTACTGTCCAGAGACAGCGTCTATGACGTGTTGAGACGCATCTGCACACATCTACAGGTGAGAGTTGACTCTATACGCACGGGCTGGATCATTATGTAAACAGCATTAGTGTGTTGTGGTCATGCTGCATGCTATCTGTCATACAGGTCAATGGGAAGAAGATCCTCAGCCTCAAGCAGTACATGGAGGAGCCTAACTCTTTATCTCTGGTACGTTTCAGAGTCCAGATTGCTCTGGCTTCTGGAGAAAATTTAGCATGTTACATTTTTGTGCAGAATATCCGCATACTAATTATTGTGGTTTATTTGTATGGCACATTTAAAAAACAACACATGTTGAAAGTGCTTTAAACACCAATACAATACATATAGTTTCAAAACAGCTTTACAGAAAAGGCTTGTTTCAATGTTACACGTATTCTGTTCAAGTGTATTAAAGTAATGTGCAAATGGCAGTAACATTCTGCTATAAAATAATACATGTTATGTGGTTAGTAAACGTCATTTTAATCATGACAACTCTCAAAATAGTTTTAGCATGTTATTGAATAAGGCAATGTTATTAATGTATTTGGTCTTGGTGAACTAGATCTGCTATGCTCTGTGTGCTCTGAATAAATAGACATATATAAATCCGTAACAGATCTAGGCAGGTGGAGCTGGGGAGGTGGAGGGTCTCACAGGAGCTCAGAAAGGACTAGAAACAGACTATTTGTGTTAAGCAAGCAATCTAATTGGATGCAGGATCATAAGAGGCCAATCTGCTGGCGATTGCTTGCAGATTGTATGTAAAGGACCGATCCCTCTAGAGTTTCATGACTGAACTAGATATGTATTCAGTTAAGCAGACAAAAAACGTGCGCAATTACAACTTATATATAAGGATAATATTACAATATCAGGATAATATTTGAACGTTTTGCGGGTCGATTCCAGAGTTGCCGTCATCTGAAATCTTCTCAATTGTCCTCGTCGCCTGAAAACATTGGATGCAAACTGGAGATGACGTAATCTGTAGTTACTCCACCCCGAGGTAGAAACAGGGAAGCAAAAGGAGAATGTATCAGATATAACTGTAGTACAAGTTTATCAGAAGTATTGCATAAATGTTTTTGCGCCTCTTTGCACGTAAATTACCTGCAAACTCTGCGCCTTGTGCATTTAGACTCAAATTAGTCTCATTAGAGAGTGTCATTCGCAATATTACTGCCCGCCACATGCAGGCTGTAAATGATTGTTTATATAAAAGGGATGTATGCGTTTTCAGTGGGCGCAGTTCATTCTTAGTGAATCTTAGTGTGTCCTGTACTTCCCTTTGGTGGTGTAGGATGAGTTCCCTGTCCCTGAAGTTTTCCCTGTCCCAGACGAGTTTCCTCCGGTGTTGAAGTGGAGGAGGAAGCCGTCAGTGGTGTCTGTGTCGTCTTCTCTACCTGATTTACTGGGAAACTCCACCAGCAGCCTGAGTGCCGTAGACGCCCCTTTCCAGACAGACGAGCCTCTGGAGGGTGAGTGACCCACCAAAAAAAACATTTACATATTTGATACTATGTAAATTGCACAGTGTGCATGAAATACCTACATAATCTATTGCATTTAACAAAATGTGCAACTATAACTTGGATTGTTAAAGAGAAATGAGACAAACAATATCAACCTTGATGTCGTTCCTGACTTATTATGAGATTTTAGACGCATCTAAACCGAAGGCAATTGAACAATACAAGTATAAAAAAGTATATTTATTTCCAAGATAAATAATTGGCCCTTTCTGAAATAACCATGTAACGTAATGAAATCATGTGACGACAGTTTAACACTGCCGACTGATGAGAGAAAAAGTCAGTTTTTGTGCTGAGCTTCTGAGGAGGGTAAAGCCGGTAAAAATCTGCTGTTGGAAAAGCATTATGAGCGGATTAATATCTCAAATGTCCCCATTTGATCTAATGTTTCTGGGATGGAATGAAAAAATGTCCTTTAAATGATTTTGTTTCATTCGGGAACAAGCTGATCACTTGACTTTGACGTCATATCTCTGTGAAAGAGAGATGATGGCCTGGGTCTGTGGAGGAGGAGTGAGTTTGATGTGATTAAACTCGAGGTTCTGTGGGGTCGGACTGGATACACTCCATTCCTAGAGCTTCCGGACAAATGGGTTTTGTTTGGGGTGCGGACTGATGGGGCAGTGACCCCGAGGTCAGTCCTAGAGCTCCTCCGGTCCGATTTTAGGGGGGATATCGGGTCCATCGGAGACGTCCAATGAAATTCTTAGGCCCGCCGAATAAACACCACAGACACACTGTAAGAGATAAACTCAAGAGGTCCTCGCTGCAGCCTGTAGCACGATGACGTAGCTGGATGGTCCAATACGTAGTGGATGGAGGTGTGTTTTGGTGACGTCATAGACGCATGCGCACTAGTCAAGTCAAGTCAACTTCATTTATAGCGCTTTTAACAATGTAGATTGTTTCAAAGCAGAGATAAACATATAATTTAAGGCAAATGAGATTGTTTTGGCTTTATAGCGGTTCTTAAATAATGTTTAAGAACCTGTGATAAACGCTGATGGCGTTCATATGCGCATTAAGAATTGATTCTATAGTTAGAGTAGGTGTAGAGAGAGTAGAGAGTTGGTGAACGATCGCACGTGCTTTGATCTTCCAAGAAGAATAAAGTTAAATATAAATGGTCACTTGAGGATGGAAGCTCTTTTCCGCCACAGAATAAAACATTTAAAAATATATAATTGCGACTTTTTCCTCACAATTGCGAGTTTATTTAACGCAGTTCTGACTATATCTCACAATTCTGAGAAATAAAGTCAGTTTGCAAGATGTAAAGTCTCAATTGCATGTTATAAAGTCAGAATTGCGTGAAATAAAGTCAGAATTGCGTGCTATAAAGTCAGAATTCTGAATTTATAATAGGCCTACATAATTGGGAGTTTACGTCTCCCAATTCTGACATTTTTTCTCATAATTGTGACATAAACTCGCAATTGCGAATTATAAAGTCAAATTCTAAGGGAAAAAATTACCTATTTTTTTAACCTCAGAATAGTTTAATATCTCACAATTCTGACTTTAGGCTATGCAATTGCGACTTATCATGCAATTCTGACTTTATATCTCCCAATTGGTATTATAAAGTCGAAATTCTGACTTTTTTCTCGCAATTCTGAATTTATAACACATAACTAAGATTTTATATCTATCAATTCTGACATATTTTCTTAGAATTGTGAGATATAAACTCGCAATTGCGAGTTATAAAGTCAAATTTTACCTCAGAATAGTTCTCTCACAATTCTGACTTTATAACACACAATTGCGACTTTATATCATGCAATTCTGACTAGCCTATATCTCCAATTTGCGTAGGCTATTATAAAGCCAGAATTTCAAGTAGCCTCGCAATTGCGAGTTTATATCTCATAATTCTGACTTAACACGCAATTGCGACTTTATATCACGCAATTCTGACTTTATAACCTGCAATTGCGACTTCAATTCTGAGATAAAAAGTCAGAGTAGTGAGATAAAAAGTTACCTTTTTTATTTCTCACTCTGTGGCGAAAACAAGCTTCTATAGCCTACCATATGTATTGCAGACACTGAACTGTGGAACAATGAGTAGGCTATAGCCATTAAAGAAGGAACTCTTACCAGGCAAAATATCAAGCACTTTTTCTTTTTTTTTACATCTGACAAGATTTATTTTCTTGATGCTGTTATTATTTTAGCATTTTCCCTTGAATGTGTACTGGTATCTTAAAATGTTTACAGACTTTATTGTATTGTACCTTTAAAATTACAAAGACAATTAGGCTAGGCTACTTGATTCATTTTTGCTTCCACTCAACAGCAAATGTGACCTGAATAAAATAAAATGGCTTAAAAAAAAAACAAAAAAAAACTTGCGGTGCTGAGGACATGCTATTAATCTATCAAATTTAGGTTTAAAATCATGTGATTTAAAATGTTGTAAAATTAACTATTTTGCATAGCCTATGTGTGAAACTCGGATAAGCATCCCATTTATGTAAATAATTACTTATTTATCAATAATTACTATTTAGCAGTACTATACTACACAGGTTAGAACATCATATCAGTACAATATTGAGCATACATGTCACTTAAAACCAGCGCATGCGAATTAAAATCCAGAGATCGACACTGCGCATGCGTATATGACGTCAGCAAAACACACCTCCATCTAGACTTGTAGTCGAGACCGCCTAAACCGAGACCAAGACACTACCAAGACCAGATGGTATCGAGACCAAGACAAGACCAAGACCAAGACCAAGACAGACCAAGTCGAGACTAAGACCGAGACCAAGTCGAGACCGGAGGGGAAAAAAACATTAGTGTTGAAGCTAAGCAATAACTTGTCAAATGTTGTTTTGCATTTGCCTGCCTATCTCTGCTGATTTCGAAGTCTCCAAATGAATCCATTCTGCAACTTTTAAATACATAATTATATTTTTAAAAACGAAATTATAGGCTTAAGTGCAGGATCCGAAAGTTGGTCGTTTTTGTCGCTATGGTTACACACACACACACACACACACACACACACACACACACCGTTGGCGGTGCGCTCAAAGTCATCTGTCAGTTGTGCAGTTACCCAAAATCTCCTGAATGAAGGTAAAACCCATCATGTCACTGATATGTGTTTTACTAAATATTAATATATCAAAACCTGTACATGATATGTGTTTTTTAAATCAAGTGATCAAAGTGCTCGTTGCCGCTGCGATCAGTGGCGCGGATACAGTGTTTTCTCGCGTGGCTCGCGCGCACCGCACTGTCTTCACTCGGACGCGCGCTTCAATACGTTGCGGATATCGCCGTGGATATTGTAGTATTGTATTGCTCAATCCCCTGACCACTATGTCGGTCTGAGACAGCGAGACTTAGACAAGACCGAAAGGTCCGAGACCAAGACAAGACCGAGACCAAAGACCGTCAAGGCCGTGACAAGACCGAGACCACGTAAAAGTGGTCTCGAGACCAAGACCGGTCTCGAGACATACATCACTACCTCCATCCAATACGTATTGGACCATCCAGCTACGTCATCGTGCTACAGGCTGCAGCGAGGGGTGTCTCGATAAACTACAGAAACAGTGTAAGAGTAAAACTACAGACACAGTGTAAGAGTTAAACTACAGACACACTGTAAGAGTAAAACTACAGACACAGTGTAAGAGTAAAACTACAGACACAGTGTAAGAGTAAAACTACAGACACAGTGTAAGAGTTAAACTACAGACACAGTGTAAGAGTAAAACTACAGACACAGTGTAAGAGTAAAACTACAGACACAGTGTAAGAGTTAAACTACAGACACAGTGTAAGAGTTAAACTACAGACACAGTGTAAGAGTTAAACTACAGACACAGTGTAAGAGTAAAACTACAGACACGGTGTAAGAGTAAAACTACAGACACGGTGTAAGAGTTAAACTACAGACACAGTGTAAGAGTTAAACTACAGACACGGTGTAAGAGTAAAACTACAGACACTGTGAAAGAGTAAAACTACAGACACAGTGTAAGAGTTAAACTACAGACACACTGTAAGAGTAAAACTACAGACACAGTGTAAGAGTTAAACTACAGACACAGTGTTAGAGTAAAACTACAGACACAGTGTAAGAGTAAAACTACAGAACTACAGACACTGTGCAAGAGTTAAACTACAGAACTACAGACACTGTGCAAGAGTTAAACTACAGACACAGTGTAAGAGTTAAACTACAGAACTACAGACACAGTGTAAGAGTAAAACTACAGAACTACAGACACAGTGTAAGAGTAAAACTAGACACAGTGTAAGAGTTAAACTACAGACACAGTGTTAGAGTTAAACTACAGACAGTGTTAGAGTTAAACTACAGACACAGTGTAAGAGTTAAACTACAGACACAGTGTTAGAGTTAAACTACAGACACAGTGTAAGAGTTAAACTACAGACACAGTGTAAGAGTTAAACTACAGACACAGTGTAAGAGTTAAACTACAGACACAGTGTAAGAGTTAAACTACAGACACAGTGTAAGAGTTAAACTACAGACACAGTTTAAGAGTTAAACTACAGACACAGTGTTAGAGTTAAACTACAGACACAGTGTAAGAGTTAAACTACAGACACAGTTTAAGAGTAAAACTACAGACACGGTGTAAGAGTAAAACTACAGACACTGTGAAAGAGTAAAACTACAGACACAGTGTAAGAGTTAAACTACAGACACACTGTAAGAGTAAAACTACAGACACAGTGTAAGAGTTAAACTACAGACACAGTGTAAGAGTAAAACTACAGAACTACAGACACAGTGTAAGAGTTAAACTACAGACACAGTGTAAGAGTTAAACTACAGACACAGTGTTATAGTTAAACTACAGACACAGTGTTAGAGTTAAACTACAGACACAGTGTAAGAGTAAAACTACAGACACGGTGTAAGAGTAAAACTACAGACACTGTGAAAGAGTAAAACTACAGACACAGTGTAAGAGTTAAACTACAGACACACTGTAAGAGTAAAACTACAGACACAGTGTAAGAGTTAAACTACAGACACAGTGTTAGAGTAAAACTACAGACACAGTGTAAGAGTAAAACTACAGAACTACAGACACTGTGCAAGAGTTAAACTACAGACACAGTGTAAGAGTTAAACTACAGAACTACAGACACAGTGTAAGAGTAAAACTACAGACACAGTGTAAGAGTAAAACTACAGAACTACAGACACAGTGTAAGAGTAAAACTACAGACACAGTGTAAGAGTTAAACTACAGACACGGTGTAAGAGTAAAACTACAGACACTGTGAAAGAGTAAAACTACAGACACAGTGTAAGAGTTAAACTACAGACACACTGTAAGAGTAAAACTACAGACACAGTGTAAGAGTTAAACTACAGACACAGTGTTAGAGTAAAACTACAGACACAGTGTAAGAGTAAAACTACAGAACTACAGACACTGTGCAAGAGTTAAACTACATAACTACAGACACTGTGCAAGAGTTAAACTACAGACACAGTGTAAGAGTTAAACTACAGAACTACAGACACAGTGTAAGAGTAAAACTACAGAACTACAGACACAGTGTAAGAGTAAAACTAGACACAGTGTAAGAGTTAAACTACAGACACAGTGTTAGAGTTAAACTACAGACAGTGTTAGAGTTAAACTACAGACACAGTGTAAGAGTTAAACTACAGACACAGTGTTAGAGTTAAACTACAGACACAGTGTAAGAGTTAAACTACAGACACAGTGTAAGAGTTAAACTACAGACACAGTGTAAGAGTTAAACTACAGACACAGTGTAAGAGTTAAACTACAGACACAGTGTAAGAGTTAAACTACAGACACAGTTTAAGAGTTAAACTACAGACACAGTGTTAGAGTTAAACTACAGACACAGTGTAAGAGTTAAACTACAGACACAGTTTAAGAGTAAAACTACAGACACGGTGTAAGAGTAAAACTACAGACACTGTGAAAGAGTAAAACTACAGACACAGTGTAAGAGTTAAACTACAGACACACTGTAAGAGTAAAACTACAGACACAGTGTAAGAGTTAAACTACAGACACAGTGTAAGAGTAAAACTACAGAACTACAGACACAGTGTAAGAGTTAAACTACAGACACAGTGTAAGAGTTAAACTACAGACACAGTGTTATAGTTAAACTACAGACACAGTGTTAGAGTTAAACTACAGACACAGTGTAAGAGTAAAACTACAGACACGGTGTAAGAGTAAAACTACAGACACTGTGAAAGAGTAAAACTACAGACACAGTGTAAGAGTTAAACTACAGACACACTGTAAGAGTAAAACTACAGACACAGTGTAAGAGTTAAACTACAGACACAGTGTTAGAGTAAAACTACAGACACAGTGTAAGAGTAAAACTACAGAACTACAGACACTGTGCAAGAGTTAAACTACAGACACAGTGTAAGAGTTAAACTACAGAACTACAGACACAGTGTAAGAGTAAAACTACAGAACTACAGACACAGTGTAAGAGTTAAACTACAGACACAGTGTAAGAGTTAAACTACAGACACAGTGTAAGAGTAAAACTACAGAACTACAGACACAGTGTAAGAGTAAAACTACAGACACAGTGTAAGAGTAAAACTACAGACACAGTGTAAGAGTAAAACTACAGACACAGTGTAAGAGTAAAACTACAGACACAGTGTAAGAGTTCAACTACAGACACAGTGTAAGAGTTAAACTACAGACACAGTGTAAGAGTTCAACTACAGACACAGTGTAAGAGTTCAACTACAGACACAGTGTAAGAGTAAAACTACAGACACAGTGTAAGAGTAAAACTACAGACACGGTGTAAGAGTAAAACTACAGACACAGTGTAAGAGTAAAACTACAGACACAGTGTAAGAGTTAAACTACAGACACAGTTTAAGAGTTAAACTATAGACACAGTTTAAGAGTAAAACTACAGACACAGTGTAAGAGTTAAACTACAGACACGGTGTAAGAGTTAAACTACAGACACAGTTTAAGAGTTAAACTACAGACACAGTTTAAGAGTAAAACTACAGACACGGTGTAAGAGTAAAACTACAGACACAGTGTAAGAGTAAAACTACAGACACAGTGTAAGAGTTAAACTACAGACACAGTGTAAGAGTTAAACTATAGACACAGTTTAAGAGTAAAACTACAGACACAGTGTAAGAGTAAAACTACAGACACAGTGTAAGAGTTCAACTACAGACACAGTGTAAGAGTTCAACTACAGACACAGTGTAAGAGTTCAACTACAGACACAGTGTAAGAGTTAAACTACAGACACAGTGTAAGAGTAAAACTACAGACACATTGTAAGAGTTAAACTACAGACACAGTGTAAGAGTAAAACTACAGACACAGTGTAAGAGTAAAACTAGACACAGTGTAAGAGTTAAACTATAGACACAGTTTAAGAGTAAAACTACAGACACAGTGTAAGAGTAAAACTAGACACAGTGTAAGAGTTAAACTACAGACACAGTGTTAGAGTTAAACTACAGACACAGTGTTAGAGTTAAACTACAGACACAGTGTAAGAGTTAAACTACAGACACAGTGTAAGAGTTAAACTACAGACACAGTGTAAGAGTTAAACTACAGACACAGTGTAAGAGTTAAACTACAGACACAGTTTAAGAGTAAAACTACAGACACAGTGTAAGAGTAAAACTAGACACAGTGTAAGAGTTAAACTACAGACACAGTGTTAGAGTTAAACTACAGACACAGTGTTAGAGTTAAACTACAGACACAGTGTAAGAGTTAAACTACAGACACAGTGTAAGAGTTAAACTACAGACACAGTGTAAGAGTTAAACTACAGACACAGTGTAAGAGTTAAACTACAGACACAGTGTAAGAGTTAAACTACAGACACAGTGTAAGAGTAAAACTACAGACACAGTGTAAGAGTTAAACTACAGACACAGTGTAAGAGTTAAACTACAGACACAGTGTAAGAGTAAAACTACAGACACAGTGTAAGAGTTAAAAAAATATGCAAAATAATATACACCAGTGTTTTGCCAGATGAGAAGTTTATTCTATGTATCATCTTTTTACTACTTTAATTCATTTTACCCTAATTAATTTGATTACTGTATAATTTATCTCTTTTAATTCCTTTTATAACTGTTTTAATTTCCCTTGCTTTTATTTTGTTCTTATTTCTTATGCAACGCACTTTTGAATTGCCATAGTGTGATATTTTAATTCCTTTCTATGTAAAGCATTTTTAATTGTTTTAATTTTCCTTGCTTTTATTTTGTGATTATTTTATTCGTTTCTATGTAAAGCACTTTGAATTGCCATAGTGTATGAAATGTGCTATATAAACAAACGTGCCTGTGTTGTGATTGGCTGGTTGACTGCAGGAATCGGGTCCATTATGCAATACGGGATTAAGCCCAGAAGGAGATTAAAAAATGTGGAGATAAAACATTAAAATATCAGCCTCTGCTTAAGACTAATTGATGTAATGCTTTTAAATGCTTGTTTGTGTAATGTTAAAAGCTTTTTTTGGCCGTTATGGGTAGTTCATATATTCAGAGTATTTTATTTCACCAAATATAGTCTCTCAACTCAAGGCCCTAATATTCTTCAAGCCAAATCGAAGAGCGAACTGGTGTGACCAGTCATTTTTCAAACAAAATCAGGCCAAAACGAAGTTCACTCTGGCTGGTAAACACTATTGGTCGGTGATGATGATGTAATACGTGGGTGTGGCTCTGAGGCTCCGCCTTTTTTGAGGTGTAAATCTTCTCTGGTTCATTCGAGGTCAGATGTCTGCGAGTAAAACATGAACACACTGAAGCGCCGCTTTATAGGAGAAACTGAAGTTGTAATTCTATTTGAAAGCGACTTTTTCATTTTTAATACTGTAAATCTACTTGCTTTAAACCCATCTATTATTGTATAAGAACTATATAAATAAACATGACGTGATTGGAGAGCTGGTGCACACATCCACGTCGCGACGATCAGATGCTTTCTGAACTGCTGTTTTCACACCACTGTCGGTTGAAAGGAAAGTGAACAGCACATATTTGCATATTCATCTAAACGTCACTCTCATCAGTGTGGACGGCGTCGGGATGTTTGTTACAGTATATCGCTGGTCACGTATTTTGAACTTTTTTACCCCTAAGCGAAGAATGAAAAAGCTTCGCTGTGAGTATATTTTAGGGCCTTAATATGAGACCTTTGTTCATTTATTAAAGAAAGAAAAGACTGGTGTAAGTCACACTACAGGACTTAAATCATTCTGTGATTCTGGGATCCGCTTCAGATCAAGGTCTGGAAACCAAGAAGTTCCTCCTGACAGAGACGATACCAGAGCTGGGTCAGATGGAGTACCAGCTACTGAAGTTCTTCATCCTGCTGTGAGTTTGGCTGGTCATCCTCGCTGTGTGTCCGTGTGTGTGTGTGTTCTTACTCTTAGCTTTATAAATGCTGTCCTGTCTTACTGAGTCAGAAAGTGCCACAAAACTGTATGATTGGCTAAACAAATAGTGTGCTGTCACAGAGACCGGTGTATTGTTTCAGGACACCTAATGCACTTGTATCATCATTTTTTTATTTTTACACACACACACACACACACTCACACACACACACACACGCACGACACACACACTCTCAAACACACACACACTCACTCTCACTCACACACACACACACACACATGATCACTCACACAAAATCACACACACACACAAAATCCACGTTTTTCAGTTTTAATATGGGCACCGTGTCAAATGTATTTAATAAAAAATCAAACTATATAGATTGACACATGCATGGAAAATTATTTACACATATTATCATACTTTTTTAGTCAACTTTTTTTTTAGGCTTTATAAATAGATCAAATCAAGAGGCAGGGGAGATTTTCTCATTATTTTGTCACACAAACTTGTGTGTGTTTGCCAGTCCACCTGTTCCCGTAATCCGTCCCCATCGGCTCGGCCTGATTTATGCGGAGCAGCAGAGATACACACACGTGTGGAAACTCACGTGTGCACTCGCCAGGAGTGCTGTTATGTGTTTCTGGATAATAAAACAACTTATTAACAGAATAAGAGGACATCTTGGGAACCGCAAATAATAATCAATCAACAAATTCACCCAACAAATACATTAGGAGTTTATTATTAACCTTTATTATTAAAACAATACATTAGATTTCAACAATTTACCTTTGTGTGCTTCATGCCTATACTATATAAACAATAAAATTAAAGAAAATATATGAAAATCATATTCAATATACAAATACTAATAATGAATAAATAAAAATATAATACAAAAATCAATAATAAAAGTGAATATTATAATTTGTTATTATTAATAGTACTACTACTACTAATATATTAAATATTACAAATTTATAAAATTAAATATAATAATAATAATATATTAAAAATAATAATATTAATAAATTAATTATAAATTAATAAATTCTCATTTATTATAAAATAATACAATTCAAAAATAATATATTAAAATAATAGAAAATCCAAACATGTCTATGTCCTCTGCTCTTCAGTTGAGAATTAATAATATTTAATAAATTAATAATAAATTATTATTATTAATACTAATTGAAACTACTACTACTACAACTAACAATAATAATATATTAAATTATATAAAATAATAATAAAACAATCAAATTAAATAATAATATATTTAAATAATTTTCAGTTGAGAATTCCAAATATTATTTATGAAAATTAAATTAAATTAAGTGTTTTTACTTTATTTATTTGAGCAACTGAGATGACTGTGATCATATCAATAGTTGTTCCCATTAGATATGAATGACAAAAAAAGAAAAACTTTAGCTCCCAACGCTGCCATCTAGTGTCCACCTGGACATCCACACGGCTCTCCATGATCTCACAGTGAGCTGTAGCTCTGCTAGTGTTCGGTTTCCACTTGAAATGTGCCTTCTGTCCCGCAGCATTATCCTGCTCATCCTGTCGTCGTGTTACCTGGCCTTTCGTGTGTGTAGCCTGGAGCAGCAGCTCTCTTTCCTCAGCAACAGCCCTGCACTGACTCTCAGAGAGAGGTACATGCGATCACACACTCTCTTACGTCATTCACACCAGTCTGAAGCTCGTTCACCAGCGCTGTCTGTCTGTCCACACACAGGTAACTGACGCTCACCACTGCAACTGTCCACAGGAAAGTCTTCCAGCGCTGGCGCTCTCTCTCTGTGGCCGCCTTGCAACTATGCAAACAAACTCTCACGTATTTATGCAAAGTCTTTCTCGGATTGTGTTGACAATGAGCCTGAAGACTGCGAATGTTCTCAAATAGTCATTGTGTGTTACTGGACCCATGAAGAAAGGACCTGACCAGCCTACACTGGATTTAGACTGAAAGCCCTGTGTGCATTATTAACACAATGAAAGGCTCTGCTTCCCCTGTTTGTGGTCACTCGTCATCTAATGTATCAGTCGCTCTACATCAAACCAGTCAAATGACTTTCAATAGGTTATAAATCTCTTGAATATATGTATAGCTCAGGATCGAATGAAGTATATTTGGATAAGATTATTTTATTTATTGATATGCAAGCCACTTGCCATGCTCTTCCAATAGGATTTAGTTGACCTGAAAATCTCTATCATGTGTACAGTTTGATCAGGTTGTGTGTGTGATCAGTTTTACTGTGTTCACACCTGGGCGGAATGTTTATGGCATAATGAATGTTTACTCAAGTCAATCTTGAAGCTGTAGAATTCATGGACAATAAAATACTGCATTTTCATGTACTGTCAGTGTCTTAATGTTGTCATTGTGCTGTTGTTTTTGTTAAAGCATATCGTGCAGATTTTATATACTTAAGCCTGACATATTAAATAATAGTCAGAAAAATCAATATTTTTGAAATGGAACATTTTATTAAATCTTTTGGAGTATCATTTTTGATAAATCAGGCTTTTATCAGGCTCACACTCAAGGAGGAGAAAAACAAAAATATGCAATTTGGTACAATTGGTGACAAAAACTAAGATGAAATATAGTCAAAAACTAAGAAAAACAGATATATAGTCAAAAACTAAGATGAAATTGTGATGGATTGTAATGTAAACCCATGAGATCTTTATAATAGTATATCAGAATACTTCCATAAAATATAAATAAAATGTTTTATTTTTTCATTTTAACCCAAACTAACAGCTAACCACATATTTTCCTAATAATTTTTTTGATTACTAATATGATTAATTTGTGATATTATGATGTGAATTTCAACCTTTAGTAGTGTTTAAATAACTTCACATCCACATTTTCATATTCTGCCCTTTTATGTTTTTTTACTTGAGTGTATGTGGGCGTAAGTGTTCAGATCTGCTACAAATTATTCATTATTATATTACACCAAATTTCAAACAAATCCAGTGTGCAGAACATGCCCACTGAGGACATCTGCTGGTCAAACACGTGCAGCATGATCCAGCAAAGATCCAGCATGGTTGTTGTGACACCTGATGTAGTTTTATTATTTTATTTAAATTTAAAAGTTCACAGTGGGATACTGCCTAACGATAACAAATAGCTTTTAAAGAGGCAGACAAAACAAATGCTGAACTCTTAACATTGCGGCACCAGTGGTGATGAAAAAAAATTGGGATGGGAGAAGAAAAAAAACATTCAAACCTTTTGCATTGCCCTGAGAAACTTTGCGTTCCTTCACAAAACTTTTGCGTTCCCCCGGAAAGATATTTGCATTCCTTCGCAAAAACGTCTCGGTCACGTATGGTTTCCCTCATTCCCTGAAGAAGGAAACGGAGACGTTACATAGATGTTACATCCGATTCAGCCCTAGTCTCAGCCTCAGACGTCACGCCCAGGGAACGTTGGCTAAACGTCTGATGCATATGGTACACTTAACTGGAAACACTTCAGGAATGTCGAAGTCGTCATCTGATTGGTTGAATTTTATCGGATTTCCGGGGGGGGCGAGTGTCGCGTTTATTTTCGGTCCGCCGGGAAACAAAGCGCTGACGTGTGATTGCGGAAGTAAAACTGTTGTGTTTACATGAGTGACAATGAGCATTTATCAAGATCAGCTAAACGTAGGATTCTCAAAAGTATGCGAGGTTCACGGCATAGACTCTTTAAGAGATGTCCAGGAGTTTTGTTTGAGGCACTTAGTGGAGACAAAAAGAGATATTTTAGCTTGAGGACTACATCAATGACCAACTTGGACTGGCCAGGAATTTTTATTAAATTCTTGGCCAAAGCATTGAAGCGTCCCCTTGTAATATTATTAACAAGTGTCCTCATAGGTCTCTTTACATCCCTCTTCAGCATTTTCTGTGACGACTTAAACATAAGGACAGTTTGACTACCAACAGTATCCTGTACAGATGTTGACGCATTGTTTACCTCTGGTGACGGTAGATCGAACAATTCACGTCTCGCAAGGCTGCATTCAGAAATTGCAAGTCTCTTCTGCAGTTGTGTTGGCGTTGATGGTGCGCATCGTTTCTGTCTTGTCTTACTGCACATGTCATTTATATGCAACTTCAGTCGTACAACTTCTTTGGAAACACTATTGTACCTCATTAGTACACTTCGGCAAGATGTGCAGATCGCCAAACTTGTGTCATGAAGAACGCCAACAAACTCCTCCAGCACAATAGTAAATTCAGCTTTGTCTGTAGAGTCGTGTCCACGAAATAATCTGTGTTTGTTAGTTTTAGATGCTTTGAAGGTCTCTGAACAAAGTCTGCATACGTTTCCTACTGATTTACTCGGTGCTTTGATCAGATGTGGTAATGCAGACGCCATTGTTGTTATACGTGCACGAACGGATCAATGACTTACTGCTTGTTTTCTTCTCCTTCTTTGATTTTCTATGCTGACTGACTTGTTGCACGCCAGTCTGTTGTTGTGGGGACATTTCCACGCCCCGAAACGTGACGCTGAACGAAACGAACTGTAATTGGTTGTTTGACATGTCGGTCAAACGGCCTTATGGGCGGGCCTTGGCCAAAGAAAGCTGCTATGAATTACAGACCTTCAGCCGTCAGTCTGAAGGTCTGGCTACGCGAGACTACATCAGCCCTATCATCTTCGAGTGTCTACAGAATGAGCCAATGCACATTTATCTCATTTGCGAGATTTGCATCTTGCGCCGCACCGCAGCGGGGATCCCTATGGAAAACGCCAAGGTTGCTGCCACCTCCAGCGCCCAACGCCAGTCTCTCAGACCCCCAATTTACTGGGGCGGAGGGCCTGCGTTGAGGGAGTTCAAACTGCTGTTCCGTATAACCCATACCGTGGAACTCTTGTATAACACTGGGAAAGCGTGCCCTTCCGGGGACGGGGAACGCTGCGGAAGCCACATCCTGCCCGTAGGGAGGTAACATGTGGGAGTTACACATATGGACTGGCCATAAGGCAGTACAACATATGGAGCGTCACCGGGGTGGCTCCAGCCTCAGCAGTGGGAGACTACTACGGACAGTGACGACAGAGCGGACTCTGCCAAGGGAAAGACATGTGCTCCCCGCAGGGAGCCGTACCGTGGAAGAATACACATATGGGATCGCCGCAGGGGTCACAACATATGGGACCCAGCCTAGCACAGGTTCCACCAATGCATACGAGTGTTAGGCCTGGCGTCGGACGCTCCGCCACGTCTGACTGCCGAGGGGTGTGGAGGAATTTGACAGGGTTTGCCTATGTGGGGAACTCTACTCGAGCCAATAAGCGCACATATCCGCTCCATGGGGAGGGGAGTGATGCAGCAAGCTGACACTAGAGCGAGTACTTCGGTGTTACTGGCTACTAGAGTACAAGGGAAGAAACCGGCTCTACACGTACAGTATAGAATCTAGAGAACGTTTTCGGTGTCGCCCAGCCCGCAGCTCTACAGATATTTGCCAGTGAGGCGCCATGCGCCAGCGCCCAGGAAGAGGCAACACTCCTTGTGAAGTGGGCTCTCAACCCGAGCGGTCAAGGCACGCTATGTTTCTGGTACGCCAAGGCGATGGCATCCACTATCCTGTGGTCCATCCTCTGCTTGGAGACAGCCTTTCCCTTTTCTGCTGGTCTCCGTAACAGACAAAGAGCTGGTCTGAGGTCCTGAGGCGTTGCGTTCAGTCCACGTATAGGCGCAGAGCGCAGATGGGAAAGAAAAAAGCCAGGGCTGGGTCTGCCTCCTCTGAGGGCAGCGATTGCAGGTTCACCTTGGGCACGTATCCAGACCAGAGTCTCAGGATAATGTGAGAGTTGGCCAGGTCGAATTCTAGGCACGATTCGTTGACCGAAAAAGGCATGCAGGTCCCCTACCCTCTTGATAGAGGCCAATGCAACCAGGAGTACTGTCTTCCAAGACAGAATTGTTAACTCTGCTGATTGCAAAGGCTCAAAGGGTGGTCTCTGCAGTGCGGTAAGCAACAGAGACAAGTCCCAAGATGGTATCGAGTGAGGGCGAGGAGGATTCAGTCTCCTTGCCCCCCTTAGGAACCTGACGACCAGGTCGTGCTTCCCCAGCGACTTATCCTCGACTGCATTGTGATGTGCGGCGATAGCGGCAACATACACTTTAAGGGTGGAGGGAGACAGCCTTCGCTCCAACCTAGCTTGCAGGAAGGAAAGCACTGCCCTGATCGAGTTAGTTCGGGGGTTCTCCTGGTGAGAAGAACACCACTCAATGAACAGGTTCCACTTCAATGCGTAGAGGGGGCTCTAGCGGTAGTGATAGTGTCTATCAGCGCTTGGTGTAGGTCACCTAGATCCTCCGGGTCCCGTCCAGGGACCAGACATGGAGTTTCCAGAGGTCTGGACGCAGATGCCATAGGGTACCCCATCTCTGAGAAAGCAGGTCCTTCCTCAGAGGAATGGGCCAGGGAGGAGCTGGCAACTAGCAAGACCTGCTCCTTGTCCTCCCTGACTTTGCACAGAGCCTGTGAAGAAGGCTCACTGGGGGAAACGCATACATGAGTAGGCCCTGGGGCCAGCTGTGTGTCAGTGCATCCGTGCCGAGGGTCCCCTCGGTCAGGGAATAAAACAACTGGCAGTGCGACATGTCCGGGGCAGCAAACAGATCTAACTGTGAGGTTCTGAAGCTCCTCCAAATCAGCTGGACCACCTGGGGATAAAGTCTCCACTCTCCCGGGAGCACCTGCTGCTGTGAGAGCTCATCTGCTGCACAGTTGAGCAGGCCCAGAATGTGAATGGCACGAAGCAAACTCAGATGTTTCTGACTCCATAGGGGGAGATGGCGGGCTAGTTGTCACATGCTCCGGGAGCGTAGACCACCCTGATGGTTGATGTACGCAACGGTCACAGTGATGTCCGTACGGACCAATACGTGCCTGCCTCTCCGACTGCGTTCAACTCCGACTGAACACGGGCCTCTGTGACCGAGGTTGACCGAGTCCAACTCCATAACAAAAAAAAAGAGATCCTCTGCACTGGGGCGAGTTTGCTCTTTCTCCCAGTTGACCTGACCGAGCACCATGTCCCTGTGCTCGCACAACTGCTTTGTCGACTGGGCCAGTAGTTGAGGATGCGAACACCACGCTCTTTCATGGGAGCAACTGCCGCCTCCGCAACCTTCGTGAAGACACTGGGCGACAGGGCCAGCCCAAAAGGGTAAGACCTTGTACTGATATGCCCGTCCCTCGAACGCAAAGCGTAGGAACGGTCTGTGTCGAGGGAGAATCGAGACATGAAAGTACCCGTCCTTCAGGTCGATCGCTGCAAACCAATCTTGGGGACGGATGTACCTGAAGATGAATCCCTACGTTAACATCTTGAACAGTAGCCGGTGAAGGGACCAATTTAAGACTCGCAGGTCCAAGATTTGCCGTAACCCACCGTCTTTCTTGGGTACAATGAAGTACGGGCTGTAGAAGCCGGTCTTCATATCGGTTGGAGAGACCTGCTCTATCGCGCCCTTCGCCAGTAGGATTGCGGTTTCCGCCCTGAGCACAGGATGGGCCCTGAAGTGATCCCAATTACGTCGGCACGTCGACGTACCGTCGAACGTGACCGACTGAAAGGGAACTGTTGTGAGCTCGGACAGACGCTTTCTGTTTAATGTCCCGCTGGCAGTGTTTCAGACAGCTCTGCATGTTATCAATGAAGCGTTTCATAGTGTTTGAACTTGGACTCAAATATAAAGAAATGCAGTTAGTGCTTAACTCAAGGATTTCAGTAAAGTTGGCAATACATTCACAGATGCGAACATCCCTGATCAATAACTTTTGAGCTAAAAGTTGTTAATCATAGTAACGTAGACAACGAGCTACAACCCAATTTTCCTCAGAACGAGCTTTATAATATAAAATATATTATAATATATTTTGCGAGGGAATGCAAAAGATTTGAAAAATATTTTTTTCTCCCATCCCACATTTTTTCCACCACCACCAGATGTACAAATAAATGCAATTCACAAATCGCTCAATAACTTGTTTCCCATTACACCACAGTGTGTGTGTTGAATCTATGCTGCTGTTTAACAAAGCAATTTTTCCTTTACATGTTTGCAGCTCATTTTGTGTATTTTAGTAACATTCCTTCCTGTTTTAGTCAAATCTTCTTCAGCACACTGGAGTTTCTGAAGATCCTTCTGAAGATCCTGATTTCTGAACCGCTTCAACTGGAAAAGTGTTAAAGACACACCCGTTTTGCACACATCTCTCCAACACAGAAGCCGTAGGCTATAATATATCAGGTGATCAGTTGAGAGAAACCGAAACTTTAGTGTTATTGAACTGTTGTTTGTCGCTCTTCATCTGTGTGTACTTGCAGTGAAATGGCGGATACTACTTTTTCTCAGGACCAGTTCAGCTGTTCAATCTGCCTGGATCTCCTGAAGGATCCAGTGACTCTTTCCTGTGGACACAGTTACTGTATGCACTGCATTACAGACTGCTTTGATCAGGAAGAAGAGAAGAAAGTTTACAGCTGCCCTCAGTGCAGACAGACATTCACTCCGAGACCGGTGTTGGGAAAAAATGTAGTGCTTGCCGAAATGTTAGATAAACTGGTGAAGCTAAAACTCCAATCTGTGGATCCTGCTCAGTGTTATGCTGGACCTGGAGAAGTTGAGTGTGACGTCTGTACCGGAAGAAAGTGCAAAGCTGTCAAGTCCTGTCTTGTGTGTTTGGAGTCTTACTGTCAACGCCATTTTGAACGTCATGAGGAATTTCGTTCAGGAAAGCAACACAAAATAACCGATGCCACAGGACGACTCCAGGAGATGATCTGTCATAAGCATGATAAGATTTTAGAGATTTATTGTCAAACAGATCAGCAGTGTATATGTGTCCTGTGTATGATGAATGAACATAAACATCATGACACTGTCACAGTTACAGCACAGAGGATAGAGAAAGAGGTATGATAGGGGTTGAGAAGTGGACCACCAAACTGATAAAGGAGACCTTTTTTTGACAGGAATGAAAGTGAGGCTGTGAGGGATACAATGCGTTCAATGGATGGTAGCCTACTGTTGTTTAACAAGAATCTGACGAATGAAATTTGACGAAGCTGATGAAACGTCTTTCCAGAAAAAGATTCAGTAGACGAAAACTCCATAAAACATTTTTGTGGGTTGTGAAAATAAACTTTTATACAGTGTGTGCCATTGTAAAGACTGTACGTCTATCCCTCACGGCCTCTTTTTCATCAGCGTTAAATTTAATTTGGTCCCTACCCTGACTATTACTGGGTCAAAATTGTTCTCTGATCTGCTATACACTTTACAATGCATTAGACTAAGAATAATAGCAAAAAATCTAAGAAATACAATAGCTCTATCAGTTGTTGGTACTATCGACCATCCATAACACTACAACACAAAATGATGTCACTAGACATAAAACATGACTGTCTGTAGATATAAACAATATTTTTGTCACATTTCATTGTTTTTGTCCTGCAGAAACACTTGAAAGAGAGAATCAAGCAGCAAATTCAGGAGATAGAGAATGAGATGCAGGAGCTGATATTGGCTGAGATCTTTTATGAGGTCAGTTTTGAGAAGAATAACTGATGGGAGTACTGATAATAATAATTCTGATATTTTGAATTTGAACTGCAGTACCTATTTAGACCACTAGCTGTCCTTCTTACATTCTTATGTAGGTGTTCTGAGAAATGCTAACGTTAGCTTGCTAGCATTGAAAGCATACGGTCCCACCCTTTGGTAAATTGGCAAATTGCCATCCAAAGCCCCTCCTCCAAAACACAGAGAGGCGCACGGACACACACAGCTGCTCTCGGCAAAGCATCACAAGAGACTGCGTTAAACTACCTCATGTCTCAAAGCACTTAACATTACAATACTAATGAATGTAAACAACTTAGAGTGCCTGTACCTGACTGCTGCAGATTCATTGCGGTGTTGATACTGTTGACATGGAACACATAATTCCGACTCTGAGGACGTGAACAACTACGGTTAGAACGTCACAGGTTACCATCTCTTAATTACAGTAGTTATGGTGTGGGGAACTGTAAATGGTGACTGCTGCTCCATTACCGACGTCTGTACTCTGCATAGCATGAAACTCGCTGATGACGTGTGATGTCTGCGTGAACAGTATGCGAGGATATGTAAAAAAACAAACGTTGACAGGCAGGTTGCACATCGTATTATTTAATTCGGACCTAATATAATGATTGGATTTATAATTTATTGTCCTACGCCTTTTTTATTTTCCTACATCCTATTGTCCTACAAAACTTAGATGGTTTAACATAGTGATTGCTTCAAACCAGTATAACAAAAACAATTCTGTAGAGAATCACCTATTGCACCTTTAACATTATTACACTGCACAAGTTTTGCACTGCAACTACATATTACAGAGCTGGGCTTTATAAAAAGTGTTGCTAACCCTGCTTTTAAAGGGTTAGTTCATCCAAAAATGTAATTTTATTTCATCATTTACTCACCCTCATATTGTTCCAAACCCGTAAGTTCATCTTTGGAAAACAAATTTTTGATGAAATCTGAGAGCTTTCTGTCCCTCCATTGACAGCTATGCAACACTTTCAAGCCCCAGAAAGGTAAACATCATAAATTTAATCTATGTGACTCCAATGATTTAACCTCAGTTTTATGAAGTGATGCAACAGCTTTGTTTGCACAAAAAAACATAATTTACCACTTTATTTACAAAACATTAATCTCCAATGCACATTTGCGCAACGTGTGATCTTGCGTCAACATTCAACACGTTCGTTGTGGTGCTCTCGTTAATGCGTCAGAGATTAATATTCTGACAATAAAGTGGTAGATTGTTTTTATTTTTGTGTGCAAACAAAGCATAGTTGCCTAGGCTGCCAATGGAGGGGACAGAAAGCTCTCAGATTTCATTAAATAGATCTTTATTTGTGTTCCGAAGATGAACATAATGTTTTGTGGGTTTGTATCGACATGAGGGTGAGTAATTAATGGCAAAATGTAAATTTTTGGGTGAACTAAATTGCATTCATTGCATTAATTTAAATAAATGTAAAAGCGATGATAACAAAGGGTTAAGTGCGGTGTGAAAATCCCTTTTAAATGGATGGAAGTGTCTCCTAACAGTGCACTGCTCAGACCGCAGTGAAGGAGAGTGAGAGGATCTTTACTGAGCTGATCCGCTCGATTGAGAGAAGTCGCTCTGAAGTGACACAGCTGATAGAAGATCAGAAAAAAGCTGCAGTTAGTCAAACTAAAGAATTCTTGAAGCAACTACAGCAGAAGATTGATGATCTGAGAGGGACAGAAGCTGAGCTAGAGCAGCTTTCACTTTCAGAAGACATCCAGTTCCTCCAGGTAACAAGAGCTCTGATAAATGGGACAGTGGTCTTTAATAATGTCTTGTAATTACACAAGCTTTTGCTGATTTAAAAATGAAATATCAGGAATTCTGTCAAGTGATGCCACATGATCTCATTCTGTTATCATCTCACTTATTGGCAACTGTGTAATCACAGGGCATGTCAGGCGTTTACATTTTTAAAGAAGTTTATTAATAAAATATATAAAGAAAGAAAAAAGTGTGTATTGAGGTATGGCCCATCAGCATTAACATATTAGGCTATTGTTAAATGTGAGTCTGGAGGCTCAATTTAGTGAGGATTTCCACTTTTCATGTGAAATTACCCTGTTGTTTGTGTGTCTGTAGAGTTTCCAGTCTCTCTCTGTCCTGCCTATGGACTCACCCAACTCCATCATTGTTAGTTCTCTCCGTTCCTTTGATAATGTACAAAAATCTGTCTCTCATCTGAGAATGAAGCTTGAGGATTTCTGCCAAAAGGAGATAACAATGATATCTGGTAGAGGTAAAGTACTGGATGATATATTCACTCTCAGAAATAGGTCAATGTGCAAATACAAAGATGAAATTACAAAGTGTATTGTATAAGACATATACTTACTCTCAAATATAGATAAGACATCTATCAGTGAGTGTTTACTTTACATGTACATTTTGACACCTATGGTCTCTATAATCTACGTAGGCTTACGATGCCTTTAGAAAATGCATACAAAATTATTTTTAAAAAACGGACATAACAAGAAAACGTACTCGGTTACTAACGTAACCTCGGTTCTCTCTAGAAGAGGGAACGAGTACTGCGTAATATCTTACGCTAGGGGAAAACCTCTTTTCCACAAGATATTGAAGCCAAAAATTGTCCTTAATTTTGAATGAATGTAAAACGTGTTGCGGCTGCATGCAGACATAGGCAAGACGGCTCGCCTGCCTATTGGCTGTCCTGCGGCAACTGCAACAGCCTATCGAGAGAGGCCCTTGGTGACGTCAGATCCAATGGGGGCGCTTCGCTGAGACGGGCGTGGCCTGGGCCTATAAATACAGCTCGATGGGCTGATATAATCTGGTTTTTCATCGCCGAAGCGAACCAGAGCGTGTTGCAGGCACGGCAAAGATACGCAGTACTCGTTCCCTCTTCTAGAAAGAACCGAGGTTACGTTAGTAACCGAGTACGTTCTCTTACGAGAGGTTCTCTCATACTGCGTAATATCTTACGCTAGGGGAACACAGTGTAAAACGCCGTGCGTGCTGGGATCCAACACCAAAGTCCCAAGGGCAGGTGCCCGGGGCTCATATAGTGCATAAACACCAGGGACTCACAGAGAGTCTGAGAAGAGAGGCTAGAAGCGTCATCCAAATAAGTAGCATCCTAAGGGAGCCAATCACATCAACAGTGTTCCACACAGTCAGGGTGAAAATGTTCGGCCTGAACTGGGTAACGGTATGGGTCTTACTTATTGCCCATGGAGTTATTTTATCGATCAGCGAGCGGTGCTCAAGCGGTTTCATTATTCTGAGCCGAAGCAACGGGGCAGACAGTACTGATCTTTAGACCGAAAGTAGTTTAGCCTGTAAGGCGGGAACCTCTGGGTTATAAAACCTTATAAATGTAGACGGGGAGGCCCAGCCTGCCGCCATACAGATATCCTGCAAGGTAATCCCGCTACACCAAGCCCACGACGAGGCCATGCCTCTTGTGGAGTGCGCTCTGACACCCAAAGGACACCGCAAGCCTTTAGAAGTGCATGCCAGCGCTATGGCATCAACTATCCATCTGGATATGCTCTGTTTCGATGCGGCTAGTCCCTTAGAACGTCTCCTGAACGAAACGAAGAGCTGCTCAGTCTGTCTGAAAACGGACGAGCGAGACACATAAGCTCTTAATGCCCTGACTGGGCAAAGGAAGCTCGTGTCCTTTTCCTCGTTGTAAACCGGCAGGGCAGACAGGGAAATAACCTGAGCCCTGAACGGTGTGTTGAGGGATTTAGGCACGTATCCGTGTCTTGCTTTGAGTATGACTTTCGAGTCATTTGGCAAATTCCAGACACGTCGCGCTCACTGAGAGCGCTTGCAAATCCCCTATGCGCTTCACTGAAGCAAGAGCCATAAGTAACGCTGTCTTGAACGACAAATGTTTCATGTCTGATAAATGGATTGGCTCGAACGGGGCACCTTTCATGGCTTCCAAAACTGTAGAAAGGTCCCACATGGGAACTGAAGGGGGTCTGGGAGGATTCAGCCTCTTAGCTCCCTTAAGGAAGCGGATGACTAGATCGTTCTTCCCCAGTGACTGGCCAGTCGCTGGTTTAGTAAACGCTGCTATGGCCGCCACATAAACCTTGAGCGTGGATGGGGTTCTGCCCTTATCCAGTAGCTCTTGAAGGAAGGAAAGAACTTCCGTAACCCCACAGTCTAGGGGTGAAAAGCCTCGAGCTTTGCACCAGCCAGAAAACACAGACCATTTTGAGGAATAGAGTCGTCTAGTAGACGGGGCTCCAGCCTGCGTGATCGTGTTTAACACTCCCTCCGGGAGGTTAGCGGGTACCCGTTGATGCCCCATGCATGTAGGGACCACAGCTCGGGCAAGGATGCCAAATCGAGCCCTTGGCCTGAGAGAGGAGGTCTTTCCTCATTGCTATTGGCCATGGGGCAGTGCTTGTCAGCTGCATCAGAACTGGGAACCAAGCCTGGTTTTTCCAGAGCGGAGCCACAAGTAGCACTGAGCATCCGTTTTCCTTGATTCGTTCCAAAACCTGAGGCAGGAGCGAGACGGGAGGAAAAGCATAGAGTGGGGAGCGGGGCCAGACGTGGGCCAGCGCATCCCTGGTCTTGGAGAAAAACTTCGGACAGTTAGCGTTTTCTTGGGACGCAAACAGGTCTCCCTGCGCTCTGCCGAATGTCTCCCACAGCAGTAGGACCGTCTGCGGGTGCAGAGACCATTCTCCTGCTGGAACATTTTTTATGGACAGTCTGTCTGGTCCCAAATTCAGGTGACCAGGCACATGTGCTGCTCTCAATGAGCGCAGATTGTGCTGAGCCCAGACCAGGAGGCGTTCCGTCAGCCTGTAAAGGTTTCGGGACCTGACGCCACCCTGGCGATTTATATGGGCCACCACTGACATGTTGTCCGAACGGACCAAGACGTGGTGATATTTTATCTGGGGATAAAAGCGCCTCAGCGCGTTGTCGACTGCCATCATTTCCAGACAGTTTATGTGTAGAAGCTTCTCCCATTCTGACCACTGTCCAAAGAACGGTCTGCCCTCGAGCAGCGCTCCCCATCCCGAGGTGGAGGCGTCCGTGGACACCACCTTCACGCTCAAAGAAGTCCCCAGGTTTACACCTGACTGATACCAGTCGATTGCTCTCCAAGGTTTCAGAGCTGTGACGCATTTCTGATCGACCTTGAGGCGAAACAGACCGGAGACCCATGCCCGAGGTGGTACTCGCGCTTTTAGCCATAACTGCAGCGGGCGCATGCGAAGCAGACCCAACTGGAGTACTGATGATGCTGAGGCCATGAGACCCAGCACTTTCTGAAACCTTTTGAGCGGAACTATAGTGCCGCAGCAGAAGGATTTCGTGATGCGCTGAATGTTCAGTCTGCGCTCTAGCGTCATAGACAGCGAGTCCAGTTCCTTGCCCAGAAAAGATATTCTCTGACTGGGAGACAGCGAACTTTTCGCCCAATTGACTTTGAGACCTAGATTCTCGAGATGTACGAATAATATGGTCCTGTGTTCTATGAGCTCTGAGTGTGATCGAGCTAGAATCAGCCAATCGTCCAAGTAGTTCAAAACTCGCATGCCCCGAAGTTTCAGGGGTGCGAGAGCCGCGTCCATGCACATTGTAAATGTACGGGGTGCTAGGGACAGGCCGAACGGTAGGACTGTGTATTGATATGCCTGGACCTCGAAGGCGATCTCAAGAATCGCCTGTGACGTGACGCTATTTGTATTTGGAAATACGCGTCCTTCAGATCTATTGACATAAACCAGTCCTCTTGGCAAATCTGCGCGAGGATTTTCCTGGTTGTGAGCATTCTGAACTGGCGTTTCACAAGCACTTTGTTCAGCTGTCTTAGATCTAGAATGGGTCTGAGACCCCCGTCTTTTTTCGGTACCAGAAAATATCTGCTGTATAGGCCCCCTTCGCTCTGAGCTTGCAGACTGATCTCATGAAATGGCGTATGTATGACACGCCAATTCGTATTTCCATTTTTGGCGTGCTATCAACACGCATAATCGCTTTTCAGCGTGTTTATCAACGCGGTTGACTTAACGTTACATTACTGTATATATATAAATATATGACCTACCCCAACCCCGTCCCTAAACCTACCCGTCACTGGGGTTCAGGGGCGGATTGGCCATCTGGAATACCGGGAACAATCCTGAACGGCCGGTCCATTTCAGACCGAAGACCGGCCGGTGGTCAAAGAGCGTTGTTTTTTTGTTTATTTTTTAATGATACGCAACCGGCCTAACCGGCCGCTCAGCTGCAGCAGAACGCTGTGTGTGTGTGATTCAGACCGGGCCAAACCAATACTTTCAATCTGAGGGGGGATACGAGCGGCCCCTCCCAACTTGGACTGATCCTCGTTTTTCCTGACATCCGATTGGCTCAAACTAGGCGCCGATCAAAGGAGTTTACTTTTGGTCATGTTTGGCGGGTTTGTGTGAATGCAATGCAACAGAGACGGACGGTAAAAATGGCGAAAAGAAGAGAAAGAAATGGGCGGGGCCGAAAAAATAAGAATTAAAAAGAAAAGATTTTTGGCACAAGAGGCAGCTAAATGCGCCAAATTAACAGAACTTTTCCGTAGTGGAAAGAGTGCTGTGGCAGCCGGAGATGCAGATGAGGAAGGACCCAGCAGCATGGACAGGACAGGTGCACGATTAGGGATTAGTGATTTATTATACACTGAAATTGTTTATATTTGCATTTAAATATAGGCATTTATTACATGGCTTGGTAGAATTCCAATGTAGAATGCGGTCTGTTATTTCTTGATAATAGACCGCTGCCAAGTATAACACACCGTTGCCATGAAAAACAGAGCGTTGCCATGGACGCAGTTCAGAGACGGAACGGACTATTTTCTTTAGAGGAAGCAATACAATCGTTTTTAAATAAATAAACTGCTTTTTAAATCAATATTTTGTGTGAAATTATTAATTAATTTGGTAGGTAGCCATGTAATAAGTGGGATAATGTGTAGTGAGGCGGTTGCTATAGCGAATACAAACGCTATAACAACCGCCTCGCTATACATTATCCCTTATATTATATATTTATAGATATATTATATATTATAAACAGCAGTTTGCAGTTTGTCGTCACACACAGACAACATCCTTCTATAAGCAAGGAATCTGTATGTCTGTATATGTATATTTGTTAGTATTTGTAACTATTTTATCACTCCGACTGACTGTATACGACATGCTGGTAGTTAGCAGTATACTGTGACTTATTGTTCGAGATTAGGTTTTGCTGACCTGGTTGTGTTCAGTGCAGTGGTGACTTACTTATACAACCTGAAGAGGCAACTGTCATCCTAAAATTTCTTGAAGGTCTTCAGTGTAATCTGATTCTCTTTATACCATAAAAACACTATTAGAATTAAAATAACTGCAAAAAATCCTTCTGCTCGTGCACCAAGGGCACTCGCGTAAAAGGCCTCTCCATCTTAAAGTCCCGGGCTGAATTTCAGTCCCAGTACGTCCCTGCTGGGGTTAATACTATTTATGAGTCTTCCCCTACCATCCTAGGAAAAAAATATTGCTCCAGAGATGTAGATATGAATTTTGCTTCGTTTCGCTCGGACATTTAACGGCGTACACATACACGCGGAATCGCTCGGACGTTTAACGGCGTAGACATACACGCAAAAGATGACGGTTCGTTTCGGTGTGGACATACACGCGGATAGCTCAAAATACGTATAGATAACACGCCACTTGACTTGAAAGTGGCGTGTATGTTTACGCAAAGTCATGATGTCATGTTGGAGCTTGAGATAAAGGCTCTATGGCCCCTTTGCTCAATAGTTTCGCTATTTCGGCTCGAAGTAGATGAGCTATTTCGGTTTTTACCGTAGTTTCGCCCCGCGCTGTGTAGCGGCGGTGACATCGAGCGAACTGCAGCGAATAGCCTGTTTTTATAATGTTCAGCACCCATTCTGATACCCCGGGAAGCTTTGCCCTAGGGGGCAATAGCTAGGGGTAGAATGAGATCTGGGCTCTGGTCGCAACATAGTGGCGACCGGAGAGCTTCGGTGTGCTGTAACGTAAACGCTGTGCTTGCAGAGTTTGAGGCGGGGGGCGCGCCGATCACGGCGGGCAGCCTGGCCGCGCTCGACTCCCTTATGGCAGTTTGCTGAGAAAGAGCGAGCGGAGCAAACCCTGTGGGGCTTAACATGTCTGTGAGTGAATGTGGGCGCGGGACAGCGGGCACATTTACTGCACTGAAAACACCGTCGGCCTGAGCTGACTGTATGTGTGTTGGTTTTTACAGAAACCGTGGGACATGCAGTGTGTTGTGTTTGTGGGCACTGGGTTGTGGGCACACACACTACGTTTAATGCACAACCGACATGAGTCGATTTTATTTGTGCGCTGTCCTGTCCTACACACCTGTCCTGTCCTACACACAAGCACAGCCCTGTACTGTGGCGGGCTGTGCTTGTGTGTAGAAATGAACACTGGGTCGTGGGCATTGAAATTACACTCATAACACCATCGGCTGTGGCCGGAATACCAGAATTTACACTCTTTATGTGATTTATCTGGGTCGCCATAAAAATGGCGTTTGTGTGCAGGCAAGCGGGCCGTGTTACCGGCTTGTTTACTGCAGAATACATTGGAACAGTCGCATTTTCTGGAACTGAACGAACGAAAAGTTTCGGTGAAAGTCTGGCCGTGGCGAGACTTGAACACCGTCGTTTTCCTAGGAGGGCTAGGAAGACTTTGAGGCCTCGGGCTTCTTCTCAATCTTTGGCCGGGGCCCACGCGGAGGTGGGCGGCGGCCGGCAGAGTGAGAGCGTGGTCTCTGGTCCCCGGCTTGACGGCACTGTGAAGCGGCGGCGGAGGCTGCGGCTGGGAGCTTCGAGCAGACGGCTGTTTTGGGCGACCTGCTGCGGAACTAGAGCTCTTCGGCAAGAAGTGCTTCATAGCCTGTGACATTTTCTGTACCTCGGCGAATCTATCCGCGAAATTCTTGACGGATGATCCGAAGAGGCCAGCTGGGGAGATGGGCGCGTCGAGGAACACGGAGCGCTCCGAGTCTGGCATCTCCGATAGCGTCAACCAAAAGTGTCTCTCAGCAACGGTGAGAGAAGCCATGTTCTGCCCCATGGCCTGTGCAGCGGATTTCGTGGCGCGAAGAGCCACGTCCGTAGCGCTCCTCAAATCCGGCACGCTGATAGCTTCCTGTCCTTCCTCATCCAGTTTACGGAGAAGGTCGGCCTGGAAGATTTGCAGCACGGCCATTGAGTGCAATGCCGATACAGCCTGTCCATCGGCGGCATAAGCGCAACTGTGCATGGAGGAAGTAACACGGCAAGCTTTAAAAGGTAGCGCCGTCTTAGCTCGCCGTCCAGCAGAGGGCGGGTAAAGATGGGCCGGTACAGCTTCTTCCACTGGAGGAAGAGAGAGGTATCCTCTGTCTTTAGCACCGTCCAGCACGGAGAATGCTGCTGAGACAGAGGTACGCACTCTGGCTGAGAAGGGGGCGTTCCAGGACTTTGCGACTTCTTTGTGAAGCTCCGGAAGAAAAGGCGCGGGCCTAGAAGACGGCGGGGCGTGGTCCCTTTTCAGGAAACATCCAGCCTGTCGTGCGCGGGCTGCGCGGGCGCCTCCCACTCGAGGCCGAGGCTTTCCCTGACGACTCACAGGCAGAGGGGAGGAGATCCACAGAGCTCGCCCAATCCTCACTGTCCGACCCCAGGATAGACCAGCAGGCCTCCTCCGCAGATGCAGCTACCTCGTCGACATCAATGGCGGAAGCGGCGGACGGTGGGCGCTGTCCGTCTTTGAGCGATCCGAGTGAGGCTGGCGAAGCTGGCGGGCGAACCAGGGAGCTTTCGCAGGCTGGAGAAGGCTCGGAGACCCACTGAGTGCGGCGCTTTTTACGGCTCGGCACTATAGCAAGTGGAGGTGCAGTCTCTGAGAAGAATGCCAGGCGAGTCCTCAGAGACGCCATAGGCAATAGCTCGCAATGATTGCAGCCACCGTCAGCGAGCGCGAGAGCTGCGTGATTCTCACCCAGGCAGGAAACGCAGATTACATGGCGGTCCCCGTCGCTGAGTGCGGCGCGGCACGAGCCTCAGGAATGAGGCATCTTTAAAAAGACGCTAGCTCTTTTAGGAAAGAGAGAGAGAGTGTGAGTCGCAGCGGCGAACACACACTCGGTAGAGTAAAAGGATATAAATGCCGGAAAGCGTAGCAGGTACTGCGACTGAGTACAGCGAGATGAAGGCCAGCGGCTTCAGATGCAAAGGCTCGTCCCGCAGAAGGCTTGTTCTCAGACGGCGCGGCTTCTTCACTCAGGATCCAGCGATGCGTAAGCTTCGCTGAAGAGATGAAAAATCTGATTATATCAGCCCATCGAGCTGTATTTATAGGCCCAGGCCACGCCCGTCTCGGCGGGACGTGACGTAGTGGGCGCGAAGCGCCCCCATTGGATCTGACGTCACCAAGGGCCTCTCTCGATAGGCTTATGCAGTTGCCGCAGGACAGCCAATAGGCACGCGAGCCGTCTTGCCTATGTCTGCATGCTGCTGCAACGCGTTTTACATTAATTCAAAATTAAGGATAATTTTTGGCTTCAATATCTCGTGGAAAAGAGGTTTTCCCCTAGCGTAAGATATTACGCAGTACGAGAGAACCTCTCGTAAGAGAACTGATTGCATGAAACAATAAAACTACATTTAGTTTTATTATCAAAATGAAGAGACATGTACAATGAATAAGCTGCCATAACATTCATGTTTCATATGTTTGGATATTAACAGGATATCAGGATATTGCTTGTTTTTGTTATATTATGGATAATTAGTCATAAGAATGTGATTGTTGTTGTGAGAAAAACTCAATATGTAAAAACACAATGCAATTAATATAAAATTCATGTTGATTCTTTTATAATGCACTAATATCTACTGTTTACTGTTTTTCATAGTGAACTGCACCCATATCTTCACCGTTCCTGAACCCAAGACCAGGGAAGAGTTCCTCTAGTGTAAGTCAAGATGAAAATATACAAACACAGAAATATAGATTTACCAGTGCCTCAAAAAATGTCTGTTCTTATAAGCTTTTGGACAAGGGAAAAAATCATGCTAAATATAAAAATTAAATTTAACTAACCATATTGTAATCATCATATGGAGGCCAAAAAAGAGTAGAGAAAAACTTGAAAGGGAACTAGAGGGCGCTATGGGGAATGTCTCCAGCATTACCGGTGTCTGAAACATGACATTCTGCTGTTGTTTATGCATTTACAGAATATCATACTCATATCATTTAGCATATTATTGAGGAAATTCATGGCAACATTTACCACTGTCATTTTTTTTAAGGACCTTTTTTATAATTGGTCCTCTTTTTTTTCTTCTTTTTTTTACAGATGGGCTATTATTTATACTTTGCAACTAATAGCAACTCTGGCAAATAATACGTACACATTCAATCCATATCGATATCGGTGAGACACAATGGTGGCAACCTTTTTCCCTAAAGCATTCTATTTTTCTACTTTTATTAGATCGCAGTCTCTTGACTCTGGATCCAAACACAGTGAACAAAAAACTCCGCCTGTCTGAGTGGAACAGAAAGGCTACTTAAAATAAGAAAAGCAAGAAGTATCCTGATCATCCAGACAGATTTGATCCTTGTGAGCAGGTTTTGTGTAGAGAGAGAGTGTGTGGACGCTGTTACTGGGAGGTTGAGTTGAGTAATGATGTGGCTGTATCAGTGGCATATAAGAGCATTAGCAGGAAAGGAGCAGTTGATGAATCTTTGCTTGGATGTAATGGTCAGTCCTGGAAACTGTCCGGTACTCGCTGGAGTTGTTCATTCCGGCACAATGTCTCTGACAAAATGACCCTCATTCACAGAGAACAGACCACATTCACTGACCCTCTCTATCCCGGGTTCACGGTTACATGTGGATCATCAGTGAAACTGTGTGTGATCTAGAAATATCAGGGGTGTAAAAGATATGGAGATATGATAGTTGGGTTAAAGGACAGGTACTTTGTTTTACTCAAAAGACAAAGCATCTAACCAAAAATTGTAGCAAAAAAGTAGGCCTATCTACATTTAATTAAACTTATAAGCCTATTAAATACCCGTTAGTCACTTTATTTTCACTTTTTGAATATTTTCAACAATGATTTGAACGGTTGTGTTAAAGTTACTGTCCTAATAATAATATTATTAATCTAATATAAGAATTCTAAATTCTTTTGAGTTCAAAATTAGAATATAATCATTACTCCTTTTGGGTTTTGATGTGTGATTTTTGAATTGTGATGTGTGTGTGAATATATACATAAATTACAACATTTTTAAGTTGGGCCAACTCAATTTTAGTCAGTGGTTGAGTGGATATCCTTTTCTTGCAGGATTAACATTTATGTGCTTTAGAAAACTAAATGTCTCCAACACTTCGGCCAAACTAAGTGTGTCTGAATATAACAAAAGGGGAAACAAAACTAGACAGCAGCATAACTATGTATGCCTATAACCTCATAGTAACAAGGTGAATTAATCAAGAAATTCAGATTTGCTTTTACCTATTAACAGAAGAATTTGCTGAACTATACATGCAAAGAACCAATCATATTGTAGAAAAATTATGCAATGAATCACATCACATTTGCCGGGCTCTTATTAAAAAAAAAAAATGTTGTACTCTTTTTGTAATGAGGATTCTCTGTGATTGGTCGAAGATCCTCTCGGCCATGATTAAAGCATATTCAAAGGCATCGTCTGGAGTCTGTCTGGTTAGTGAAACGCTAGAGATCTTATTCCCAAATGATATTGTTCTTAAGGGGCGAGACGTCGTCCGACTCAGTGGGTCTCTTAGACATCCAGTCCTGGGTTACGATGCGGTCAGGAGGCTAAAACTATACTAATATTTCTCAAATATTTCTAAACTATAGTAATATTTCTCAAATTTCTCAAAGATTTTTCAAATGTGGTCAGAGCTTTTGCAATATGTCCCATGTTACATCATTTCGTTACCAGCCACCAGATGGAGGCATTACTTGCTATCCAAATGCAAACAATAATTTTCGAGAGAGAGAGAGAGAGAGAGAGAGAGAGAGAGAGAGAGAGAGAGAGAGACGAGAGAGAGAGAGAGAGAGCAGAGAGAGAGAGAGAGAGAGAGAGAGAGAGAGAGAGAGAGAGAGAGAGAAGAGAGAGAGAGAGAGAGAGAGAGAGAGAGAGAGAGAGAGGAGGGAGGGAGGGAGGGAGGGAGGGAGGAGGGAGGGAGGGAGGGAGGGAGGAGGGAGGGAGGGAGGGAGGGAGGGAGGGAGGGAGGAGGGAGGGAGGGAGGGGAGGAGGGAGGGAGGGAGGGAGAGAGAGAGAGAGAGAGAGAGAGAGAGAGAGAGAGAGAGAGAGAGAGAGAGAGAGAGAGAGAGAGAGAGAGGAGAGAGAGAGAGAGAGAGAGAGAGAGAGAGAGAGAGAGAGAGAGAGAGAGAGAGAGAGAGAGATTGAGAGAGAGAGAGAGAGAGAGAGAGAGAGAGAGAGAGAGAAAACCTATATGGGGAGGCTGCAGACCTGGAGCCGGCAGTTTTAGGACCCTGTTGTTCCTGATGCGTCCAGTAGAGGGATATTACTGCGAAATAACATAATTAAATCGACGCTTACACATTAATAACCCGTCCATAGACTTGACAATTTTGTGTTTTTTGTTAATTTAAATATAAACGTTACAGTGTAGATCTCCACAGGATTAAATTTTCTGTAGATATTCAGTTGGGTTTCACTCTCTTCACTCAACCTACAGAAGACTATTTGTTTTTGTGAATTGAAAATTAAAAATACACATAGTTGGATCAACTATGTGTTATGACAGGTGATGCTATGACCTACTGCAGTTATAGGCCAATTCACCGTAGGTTTTTATATACAGGAGACCTGAGTGAAATATGTTTTTGTGAATTTATATAAAATCACATTTAGATATTAACTATATTTAGCCCATTAGACATGCTAGTTACAAGTGTAATCATGGATCCTTGATGAAATATCTGCTGTAGGCTACTATTCTATTGGTCATCATACAGCTACAAAACAGTGTCCTACACAGCATTTTATGAAGACAAACACAATTTATCCCTTTTCTAAAATTCCATGGGCCATTTAGAAGATATAGACAATATTGTTGTTCACAAAAAAATATTTATTAACACCATTTATGAATTATGATGACTCCCCTATGGTTTGCCACTCTTCTTTAACCGTTTTTTTTTTTCTTTAACTGCTCCGCTCACTGATAAAACATTAAAAAATGAAACATTAAAAAAGTTAAAAAAGGACATCCATAGTGAATTTGACCTTGTCCTGTGTGTGTGTGTGTGTGTGTGTGTGTGTGTATTTCTTTAAGTAGCTAAAGCAAACACACCTTTATGAGATCCAAGTTAAAGAGAACTTGGTAAAGACAGAGTATGATAAAACCCACATTAAAGTGCACATACCTTTGAGTCCAGATCAGTAAGCTATTTTAAGAAAAAATGTATATTAAGATATAAATGAGATAATTAGATCATCTCATTTATAAGAAACAACTCAAACCAGAATCTACATTCAAACCATATGGGGAAAGTTTTTAATGTGTTTTAACGTATTTGAGGTGAGTGTGCAGTTTAACTCTACTTAGAGAGAGAGAGAGAGATTTACATACCTATTATAAATGTGTCTTTTGTGTGTTCACACCATAGACTGTAATTTTTTTTTAACATATTTCCATTATCTACTGTAATATTGCTCTATAAACCATGTGGAGTATGTTTTAATGCAAGGAGTAAACAGAGTCTTACCAGAAAGAGGCCAAGCTAAAGACAGGCAACAAAAGAAAATTAAAATTTTAATTTTAAATTGAGTACAGAAGATAGGGGAAGCTAAACCTACACGTGGTTAGCTAAGTTTAAGCCAGATAGAACAGAAACCTGTCAAAATACATTATAGACCCATCCATTGATATATAAATGAATTGATATCTACCTACCCTAGCTCTATCGAGCTAATCGTTTATAAATAATAAATGTTGCATCATTGCTAAAAAAACAATAACTTTAGCAGATTATTTAACATAAAAATGACAGAATCTGTTTTTGTCAGATTTTAATTCTAACGATGTTAAACTTGCTTATACGGTATTATTACTTTGTCTTCTGAGCAAGTTTCATCTTCATAAAGACAGAACCATTCAAAGTAGCCTAATCTGATTCTAGAATATTCTCCTCTGATATAAAGTTCATTTTTTTCTTCCTTTAAGAAAATGTCAGAACCTTTAAACTCAACGGTTTATAAAACAAATAATATCATTGAGTATGTTGTAAAGAACCTTACATGTTTTTATATTGACAAAATGTAATATTGCATTGATTTGTGTAACCTAATTCAATCTCTTTTGATGTCCGTTTACCCCCCTTGTTTTTTTGTTAAACAGATAATTTAATCCGTGCAGATCTATGCAGACTATAACGTTTATATTTAAATTAACAAAAAAAACACAAAATTGTCAAGTCTATGGACGGGTTATTACGTAAGCGTCGATTTAATGATGTTATTTCGCAGTATATCCCTCTACTGGACGCATCAGGAACAACAGGGTCGCAAAACTGCCGGGGCGTAAAACTGCCAGGGGCGTATATCTGCCGGCTCCAGGTCTGCAGCCTCCCCCTACTCGAGAAAACACACACATTGTAGATAGATTTTAAATGGATACTCTACTGCTTTTTCATATTAAACTATGTTATTCCCTTAACTAAGACGAGTTGATACCTCTCTCGTCTCAGTGCGTGCACTAAATCGCTGTCTTGCCGCGAACATTTGTTAGATCTTATCTCATTCAATACGGGCCAAGAAGAGAAGCGACCAAACACCTCCACGTTTTCCCCTTTTAAATACAGTTACTAGAGTAGTGTAACTCGGCCAAGAACGGTGACACAAAATAAAACGTTGCGCTTTTCTAAGCGTGTAAAATGGATAACTATATTGTATGGCAGAATACCATAGCAAGTGCTTGGGAGCACTTCGACTCGGCGCAGTAATATCATCTCTCGTGAAAAGTCCGCTCCCGCTCTCCTCCTCCCTCTCTTTTCAACGGGAGCGGACTTTTCACGAGCAAATGTTCGCGGCAAGACAGCGATTTAGTGCACGCGCTGAGACGAGAGAGAGGTATGTATCAACTCGTGTTAGTTAAGGGAATAACATAGTTTAATATGAAAAAGCAGTAGAGTATCCCTTTAAGAGAAATAGTTAAACTAACGGACCTTTAAAAATAAATAAAAAGCCTGATGGCAAATATCTCAGTTTATTATTGAATATTTTTAAGCAATTTACATGAAACTATGTGTGCTATGTAAATATAGTATCACCATAGCTGAAAGCCTTTGTTAGGAACAACGAAGATAATCTGTTATAAGGGAAACAAACATAACGTAAACATAAACATATTCTGTGCGTGCTGTAGAATATTGCTTTTTTTTGTCTAAATGGAAATCAGAGTGGAACTTTTTTGCTGTTTCAACACATTTCATAAGTCTGAGAAATCAGATGCAACCTACAAAAATAAGTTTATTTGTCATTATACTGTACAATATTTTAAAAGAAAAAAATAGGTCGAAATCTCCACCTTCATATCATCACATACACTGACTGATTCACCAGCAGTTACACACTGGAATAAAGACACGAGCATGAAGATATACAACAGCAGTGATACTACAGATAAAGCATGATGGCAGACAAAGCATGATGGCAGACACAGCAAGACAGAAATTCATAGATACATGTTTTTTTGTGGAGCAAATAGTTAACTAATAAAAACAGAAACTTTTATAAAGTGCATATGAGGCTACAGTCTTGTCTCTGGTCTACACTACAATTGATACATCAAATTTATAAAGCCACTACTACACAAACACTTACAAACATACGTTGAGACTAGTCTTGAAGGACCGGTTCATCATTTAATGAATCGTTTTCTCGCCCTCATGTCGTTTCAAACCTGTTTAATTTTCTTTGTTGAGTGAAAAACAAAAGGAGATGTTGAGTTGAATGTTCACTCCCATTCAAAAACAACGTAATTTTTTTTTTTTTTGGGTGAACGATTTCCTTCATGTCAAATTTTAGAGAGTTAATCTATAAAAGAAGTATATCGTTACACTTAAGAGGTTCTGAGAAGTAAAAATAACTACAATAGGGCCTTGGCCTCAGGTGAAGAAATCCTTGGATATGGCCTCTACGAAGTTCGGGGCAGACATTAAGATACCAATGGTGCAGAGAATGGTGAACAGGGAAAAGGCCATGAGACAAAGACGGTCAATGACAGAAGCTGCAAACTTCCACTCGTTACACAAAGTCTCTTCCTCGTCTTGGTCCCGGAAGCGTTTGGCAATGTACCGAACCTCATCCAAGATTTTGGAGAGTTCAGTTTCGCTAGGACCGCTGCTAACAGAAGACGCCGGAGCTCCAGGGAGAAGCACATCTTCCTCTCCCGAGGCGACGAGTCGACTGCAGATCACCCCTGAGTCCGGGGAAGTGGCGTAGTGAAGAGTGTCCATCCCACGGAAGCCGATGTACAGCAGGTTTCCATTGGTGGACTGTGTGGCTCCAGTGCTGATGTTCAGATCCACGCTGGAGACGCTGCTGCGCGGATGCTTATTGTGACAAGCTGAGCGAACTCTGTCCTCGCCGGGCCTCTTCATCCGCAGGAACCACGCGCACCAGTTCAACAGCACCACACGGGTCTAACAGGAAAAATGGCCATTAAATACAGGGTTTGTATGGAAAACCTGGAAAAGTCATGGATTTTAATTTTAGCCATATCGGCATGGGTTCGACAACCTATGTGCCAGAAAAATATTAGCTGATTATTTCAGAAACATTAAGTATAGGTTATCTCGCATCTGAATTCTCGTTTTATTTTATTTTTGGATAAAATGAAAAACTAATAAATGAGTAGTTTCTCATTTTCTACTTTCAATTTTAAATCGAAAAATGAATGAACGTACATGGACAGTGTCTTCTCTCTCTTATGAGACGCGAATGTCTTCACATCAGAACATTGCATCTGCACTACAAATGAAACAAGGCTTCCACTTGCGTTCCGGGACATTTGATGGATTTGACAACTGTGTTGCATCATCAGAAAAGTTTATCATTTGCAAGTCTTTGTAAGTCTAACCAATTTGAACATTCAATCTATTTTAAACCATTCGGTATACTTGCATGCTCTCAGAGAGACGGTTTTCTGTGCGCAGTCACAATCAAAGCGTGTGCACATAAAGCTGCCTTGCAAACAGCCCGCGAGTGCCAAATTGAGTTATTTTCACGGCTTATTGCGCGTAAACGGGTTAATGCGGATAAAAATGCAGCAAAATGCCCGTCTTTGGTGAGTATCCTCATAAAAAAAGTTGGTTATGTCTTAAGTGGTGTAAAAGGTTGAGAGAGAAAATGTGTAGTGGTATGTTGGACATTTAAAGTGACAGCAGCCTCATAAACCGGCTGCTTTCTGTCATTAATGTCGATCAAACAGCGAAAGACCAGGAGAAAATCACTCACTGCTCTTGACTGAATAACTTTTGTAACTTTAATCTGTTTTTCATTTTTAACTTTAACTTGTTATTTACTGTGTAGACTATCCTGTGTTATTTTTCATTTGATTACTTTATTCGGTTACACTTTATTTTAAGGTGACGTAGTTACATTGTACTTACTCAAATAAGTACTGAGTAATATTAAATAAATACATGTACTTATAGAGATTCGGTTAGGCTTTGGTTTAGAGTTCATTTTTAGTTTACATGTATACATAGACTGTCATGGAACATTAGGTCATGAATATTTGCCTCAAAAGTCATGGGAATTTATTGGTAAAAATGTGCAGGAACCCTGTAATTAAAGGAGAACTCCGGTCAATTTTAACATCAAGCTCATTTTTTTGTACATTTGGAGTGCTGTCAGTACAGACAAAAACGACAAAAATCGGTGTTGCCTACACCGTGTTATCCTCTTTTTAAAATTCGCACCCTGTTGACTTCAATGGGGCAAGTTCTAAATCTGATTTTAGCCTCTTAACAACCTTAATGTGACATTACAAGTGCACAGCCATGTGAGTGGTGTTATTAAGAGTGACCACGGTGAATCTGACTGCAGTAGATGTGCAAGATATTAATAAAAATGATGTTAATTCAGCCAGCTCACATACCTGTATTTACTTCCTGTTTTCGTTCGAAGTCCACAGTAGTCGATTGTCGAGTTCGCGCGCGCGATCATTAGTTATATTAGTTACCAATGATCGCGCGTTTTTGCCGTTTTTGTCTGTACTGACAGCACTCCAAATGTGAGAGGGAGTAAAATCTTTCCGTGGCAGGGACAGCTGTCACGGCTATACCCGGCTGTCCCGCGACCTGTCACGGCTATACGCGCCTGTCCTGCTATCTGTCACGGCTATACCCGGCTGTCCCGCGACCTGTCACGGCTATACGCGCCTGTCCCGCATTCTGTCACGGGTATACGCGCCTGTCCCGCGTACCGTCACGGCTATACGCGCCTGTCCCACTACCCGTCACGGCTAACAGTACAGATCCACTTGTCCGTGCGACACTTCTGTTGCGCCGCGCTCCACTCCTATGGGTGACGTCACGCGACTTTAACGCGCCCGCAAAGCATCCCGGGAAGGCGGCGCTTCTAAGGCTTGTTCGACTTCATGCAGCTCTGCGCAGACCGATCGGCGGCAGACTTGAAGCAGTGCATGCCGGTTAGAAATGTTGTCCGACTTGATACAGCGCCGACGCCACGTGACTGTGACGTATGCCATCAAAGTACCGCGAGAGCGATTCGAGAGTAGCCGGAGAACTCAGCCAGCGCAGCTTCTGAAGAGCGGCTGCTCTGGGCTGCACGAGCTGTGATGACGACACAGCTGTTCCACGATTGGCCGGATTCACCGCATGACAACGATCACGTGCGTTTCGTGTTTATTCTCACACCTTTAGTTCCACTAAAGCTCACAAATCAGTTTTTTTAATAACAGTAAACACTCTTTTCATGTAGTCGCGATTTATTGTGTTATGTTTATCAAAATAAAACTGATTAAAAAACGTTGATTCCACTTCATTGATAGTAGGCCTAGCTGTAGGCTTATGTTGAACTTTATTCGTGTTCAAACAAACGCTGTATGAAGCAGTACATAAAGTATTGAATGAAAATGTCTCTGAAACATCTGTGTATTTGGCAAATATTGCATTTATTTCACTTCAGCTGTGCTAAAGTATACAAACACCACGTGAGCGGTCACTACGGGAACCAGAAAGTGTCCGACTTCACGTCTCCGTTTGCAGCTCCTCCCCGCCTGCACGCGGCTACTCTCGCCGATCGCTTACATCCAGCCGCAGCCGATGTCGAACACACCTTTAGAAAAATGCTGCGCGTCAAAAAGCTGGCCGATGCCTGTGATTTAAAACAGTTTATATCGTTGTTATAGGTAATATGTTTTAGTCCATTAGGTGGCGATCGAGTGTTTGCTAAGGGTCAAGTTGCAGACATCCGAAGAAAACGCGAGTCGACATTTATCTAGAGAGTAACGTTAGTCACATTGTGTTTGCATGTAAGTTACAGTAAGAAAAGCTTGATGTTAATAAAGCTCAGACTTTGAGAAACTAAGTTGCTTTATTGGAACATTACATGGTGTCAGAAGTGGAGCGCTGTTAGCACCATGGCAAAGTTTCAGCCCCCGGACAGTTTTGATTTTGGTCACCCCGAACGATGGCCAGAATGGCGTCAGAGATTTCGCCGGTACAGGACCGCCACTAAACTTGATAAGGAAGAGGCGGACGTACAGGTCTATACACTGCTTTATTCACTGGGAAAAGAAGCTGAACAAGTGTATCAGACATTTACGTTTGGGGAGGAAGAACGAGAGGACTATGAAACTGTGATCGGGAAGCTCGATGACTACTTTGTACCCAAAGTTAATGTTATTCACGAGCGCGCACGATTCCACACGAGGGCTCAAAAGCCAGGTGAAATGGCCGAAGAGTACATTCGTAGCCTCCACGAGCTAGCAAACACGTGTGACTTTGGTGCTGCTAAAGATGAAAATATTCGCGACAGGCTCGTGATCGGAATTCAGGACCGAAAGCTGTCAGAAAAGCTACAATTAATACCCGAATTGACACTCAGAAATGCCGTAGAGCTCGTGAGGCAGTCTGAACAGGTCCGTGGACACGTTAATGAACAGGCTGCCAGCGTCAGTGCTCAAATCAGCGAGGTCGCCGGCGCGAGGGGGAAATTCCACCAAAGTGAAAGAGGCAGACAGCACCGTGGCTTAAAACGAAACCAAAATGAGCATGTTTCTGACTGGAGATGTAAAAGATGTGGCAGAAATCATGGAAAAGGTGAAATTTGTCCAGCAAAAAGTGCTGAGTGTCGCAAATGCAGGAAAAAGGGTCATTTCGCTGCAGTTTGTAGGACCCGGGAAATCCATGATGTCAGCAGACCACAAGAGGGCAGCAATGTAACGCATTTCCTGGGTGAGTTAACTCACATTGATGACAAAAGTGGAGCTTGGATTGTCACACTCCCAATTCAGGGTACCGACATAGACTTTAAAATTGATACAGGCGCTGACATAAGTGTCATTTCCGAGAAAACCTTCTCAGTTTTGAAGTATAAACCAAAACTTTCACAAGTCAATGTGAAACTTGAGAGCCCAGGGGGAAAATTGCAATGCAAAGGTCAGTTCAGAGCTAAGACTACCTTTAAAGATGAGCAGTATATTTTTGAAGCATTTGTGGTAACTGGTCCTCATGTAAACAATCTCCTTAGTCGTGATGCAGCAAGTGAAATGGGTATAGTTAAGAGGCTAGAAGAGCTCCGACCCATTTATTTTTCTGAACTGGGATTAGTGAAGACAAAACCCATTAAAATCTGCCTGAAAGAGGATGCTGTACCATACAGTGTGCACACTGCAAGACGGGTGTCCGTGCCCTTGCTTCCAAAAGTCAAGGCGGAGCTAGAGAGAATGGTACAATGTGGTGTTGTTGAGGAGATCACTGAGCCTACTGAGTGGTGCGCCCCTATGGTGGCCGTTCCAAAGAAGACAGGGCAAATAAGGATTTGTGTGGATCTAAAACAACTAAATAAAGCTGTAAAAAGAGAGAAATTTGTGCTGCCAACAATTGACGACATCCTTCCTAGGCTAGCACACGCCGAAGTTTTCTCACTTCTTGATGCAGCTAGTGGCTTCTGGCAGTTTCCACTGGATATGGACTGTGCTAAACTGACAACGTTCATTACTCCTTTTGGTAGATATTTTTTCGCAGGCTACCGTTCGGTATCACCAGCGCACCCGAAATCTACCAACGGGAAATGTCGGTAATCCTCAAAGACCTTGAAGGAGTTGCAGTCTTCATGGACGATATTTTAGTATTTAGCAACACTCCAGAGGAACACGAGCAGCGACTGCAGAAGGCTCTGGAAGCCATTGACCGGGCTGGTCTCACGCTGAACACGGAAAAGTGCCTGTTACGTCAGAGTCAACTCAGATACCTGGGACATGTCATAGACAAAGAGGGCATTCGCCCAGACACAGCAAAAATCGAAGCTATCACTCACCTTGAAAAGCCAAAGAACGTCTCAGACCTACGGAGAATGCTAGGAATGATTCATTACCTGGGCAGGTATGTTCCTCATCTCTCAGAGGTTATTCGACCTCTCAACGAGCTGTTGAAACGTGATGTAGTATGGTACTGGGGTGCTGTACAAGAAGAGGCCTTTGAAAACGTGAAACACCTAATCACTAAAGCTCCTGTGCTAGCATTCTATGATGTTACAAAGCCCACAGTCGTCAGCGCAGATGCGAGCAGCTACGGTCTTGGAGGCGTTTTGCTGCAGGACCATGGTGGACAGCTGAAACCAGTGGCTTACTGTTCCAGGGTGCTGACCGATGCTGAAAAACGGTACGCCCAGATCGAAAAAGAGTGTCTGGCGGCCGTGTGGTCCTGTGAAAAATTCTCACGATTTCTGTATGGATTGGAAAGTTTCATCCTGCAAACCGACCATAAGCCACTGATTCCACTGATCAACGCAAAGGATCTTGATTCCGTTCCACTGAGATGTCAAAGGTTGTTGCTGCGGATGATGCGTTACAATCCTGTCGCACAATATGTACCTGGCAAACAACTGGTGGTCGCTGATACGCTTTCACGACACCCTCAGCCAACCATTTCATCAGTGGTCTCTGAATTAGTCGAAGAAGTGGAAACCTATGAGAATGGTGTCAGTGGTGCATGGCCAATTTCTCCCACAAAGCTGGAATCTGTGAAAAGAGAGACAGAGATGGATTTTGAGCTACAAAAGGTGAGGCAGTATGTGACTGATGGCTGGCCCAGGTATGCAGCTAATGTCCCTCAAGCCTTGAAATCATACTACAGTGCACGCCATCATTTGTCAATTTTCCAGGATCTACTGCTTTATGATGACAGGATCATAATTCCCCAAAATATGAGGTCTGACATACTGCAAAGATTGCACAGCGGTCACCAAGGCATTGTGAAATGTAGAGAGAGAGCCAGATGTAGTGTGTGGTGGCCAGGCTTAAGTCAGGAAATCCAGCAGCTAGTTAACAGCTGCAAGGACTGTCTGGAATCAAGACCTACCCAAAGGAAGGAGCCACTTTTAACCACTCCACTGCCGGACCGTCCATGGGAGAGAATCGGTGCTGATATCTGCGAGGTGAATAAGCAAAATTACTTGGTAGTCGTGGACTATTTTTCAAGATATATTGACATTGCTCACCTTCAAAACTTGTCAGGTGAAACAACACGTGCTTGCCTAAAGAACATGTTTGCACGATGGGGCTGTCCCAATGTTCTCTTTACTGACAACGGCCCACAGTTTAGTGGAAGTGCTTTCAAAGACTTCGCTAGAGACTATGATTTTCAGCACATTACTTCGAGCCCTTATTATGCCCAGTCAAATGGAGAAGCTGAAAGGGCTGTGCAAACAGCTAAAAGGATCCTGAAACAGTCTGACCCATTCACAGCTTTGATGAGCTACAGAGCCACACCCATTCAAGCTACAGGCGTAAGTCCAGCACAGCTGATGATGGGAAGACAAATAAGAACTACAGTTCCCACATTGGAGTCTCACCTGCGACCTGAATGGCCTGATCTGCGGCAAGTAAGAAAGGCTGATAAAAATGCAAAGAGGACCTACAGGAAGTATTACAACAAAAGAAACGGTGTTAGAACATTACCAGAGATTCCACCTGGAACTTCTGTTGCAGTCAAGCTGGATGCTGAAAGAGGTTGGATAAGATCCGGGACTATTCTCCGAAAGTGTGAATCACCACGGTCTTACCTCATCCAATCTGAAACTGGAGTACTTCGACGAAATCGACGACACCTGATGCCTACAGTCAGTGACACTGAACCAGCATCTATTTCAGTTCAACAAACTCAGAGGAAAAATGAAGTTCGTGGTCAAAATCAACTTGTAACTGAGCCGGATAACGTCCCAGACAGTACAGTGCAGTATGAACAACCAGGAACTGATCTGCCTGAGTCTGATTCTAGCCACACCATGGTTAGTTCACCAAAAAGAGTGCAAACAAGGTCTGGACGAATTGTCACTACTCCTAAGAGATTCAAGGACTTTGCAAGATAAAGAAAGACTTTGAGAGAAAAAAAAAAAAGTAAACAAATGTTGTTTTCTGACTATTGTAATTTCACAGTTCAATGTTACATTTGTTAAGTAACTCATAGGGAAGGGTGATGTGATATAAAACAGTTTATATCGTTGTTATAGGTAATATGTTTTAGTCCATTAGGTGGCGATCGAGTGTTTGCTAAGGGTCAAGTTGCAGACATCCGAAGAAAACGCGAGTCGACATTTATCTAGAGAGTAACGTTAGTCACATTGTGTTTGCATGTAAGTTACAGTAAGAAAAGCTTGATGTTAATAAAGCTCAGACTTTGAGAAACTAAGTTGCTTTATTGGAACATTACAATGCCCAGCTTTATGCAAATGAATCCGTCAAACGCGAAGCGTCTATCCAATAGAAGTAGAGCATATGTAGACGGGGGGAAGTCTCTCGCAGGTCCTCTGTTCTAGACTGGCCGCTGGCTCAAAACCACACCCATAGCGGTAAACTTGAGGAACGCCCATCAAAGTACAAATGTGGGGAGGCGTCGCGACACCACGCTACAGTCGTGTCGCAAAAGTGGATCTCTACCGTTAATGAGCCTGTCCCGCTTCCTGTTACGGCTATACGCGCCTGTCCCGCGTCCTGTCACGGCTATACGCGCCTGTCCCGCGTTCCGTCACGGCTAAATACACCTGTCCCCCGACCCGTCACCACTATACGCGCCTGTCCCGCGAGCCGTCACGGCTATGGGCCTGTCTCTCGACCTGTCACTGCCATACGCGCCTGTCCCGCGACCCGTCACGGATATATGCGCCTGTCCCGCTACCTGTCACGGCTATACGCGCCTGTCACTCACGGTTAAATCTATGCTATGGGCTAGTTATTGCTATAATTATTAATAATTATTTATATTATTATAATAATTATTATTATTATAGGCTATGTCAAGCCAACCTCACTGCATGCTATCTTAAGGTAAACTTGCACTAATGTTGCACTATGAAAGTGCGTATCTATACCACGAATTTAATTTCTCGTGCCATTTATAAGCCAAAAATAGTTTTTGCGTAGGCCTATATGATACACAGTTTTTGCGTGTATATGATACGCAGTTTTCGCGTGCATATGATACGCACTTTTTGGCGTGTAATACGCACGCACTCCACACACCCCAAATCCTACCCAAGAGATTTACAGTGCGTGCGCAGTGCGCACTACCTTGGACCTTTCAAACGTACAAAATCTGTTTCATGCCCTGTTTCCAAATTATGTTTTTGTAAAGAAGATCCATATTTATGTAAAGATTGTTATTGAAATATTAATTTAAATACATGTTTATATATATATTTACAAATATATTTATAAAAATGTATGTAAATAAAATATTTCTTATACGCATGCAAATTTCAATAGGGGACTTTTTTGAAGTTTTATTACAAGAAATTGTAAGTGAAAAACTAATAAACATTCTTTGTATTTATACATATATTGCATTTTTTGCAGCATTTTAGGTTACTGTTATAACTCGGTTGCAAAGCAACTACATTACTGTGTATTTTAGACAAATATGGCCTCTTTAATGCAATATAATAGCCTAACTGTTTATCATTAACATTGATGTTTAAAAAAAATCTAGCGTAAACATTGTTAGATTTAATGACAAAAAGACACCATAGCCGTGCCCGTGACGGGTCGCGGGACAGGCTCGTATAGACCTGACGGGTCGCGGGACAAGCGCATATAGACCTGACGAGTCGCGGGACAGGCTCGTATAGACCTGACGGGTCGCGGGACAAGCGCATATAGACCTGACGAGTCGCGGGACAGGCTCGTATAGACCTGACGGGTCGAGGGACAGGCTCGTATAGCCGTGACGGGTGGAATGACAGGTGCATTTAGCCGTGACGGCTCGCAGGACAGGCGCGTATAGCCGTGACAGGTCGCGGGACATGCGCATAAAGCCGTGACGGGTCGCGGGACAGGCTCGTATAGACCTGAAGGAAAGCGGGACGTAGCCGTGACAGTGCGCGGGACAGGCCCATATAGCGGTGACGGGTCGCGGTACAGGCGTGTATACCCATGACAGGGCGCGGGAAAGGCGCATGTAGCGGTGACGGAAGGCGGGACAGGCGTGTATAGCCGTGACAGAACGCGGGACAGCGGTGACACCACGCATATAGCGGTGGCGGACGCCGGGACGGGCGTGCATACCCGTGACTGAACGCGGGACAGGTGCATATAGCGGTGACGGTCTGCGGGACAGGCGCATATAGCGGTGACGGGTCGAGTGGCAGGCGCACATAGCGGTGACAGGTCGAGAGACAGCTGCCAATAGCGGTGACGGGTGGAGTGACAGGTCTCGGTGGCAGCTGTCCCTGCCACGGAAAGATTTTACCCTTACTGCCAAATGTACAAAAAAATGAGCTCAATGTTAAAATTGACCGGAGTTCTCCTTTAACACTGTTTTCCAAACACAAACATGGAAGTAACCATAAGTCAACCAGATGGGTTTATATGGTAAGAATAAATAAAAAGCAAGCACAAGAGTCTCACCCATTTTGGCATTTTTCCTCCATCAGGATCATGGTAGTGATACTGTAAGACCCAGACTGTGGCTATCACAGACAGTCCAACAATAACCATGGTGGTGGCGAAATATTGAGCTAATCAGAGGATAGAGAGAATTATATTAACAAACTAAAGAAAAACCCATTAAGACAAAAACTAAAGTTACATTTATTTGTATAGTGCTTTATACAATACAGATGTTTTCAAAGCAAACAGGAAAATAACAGTGTTGCAAAATTCATCAATTATGAAACGACTTAGCTACGTTGCAATTTAGTACATTTAAATTTTTAAATGTAATGTCAAATGTACAGAGTAACAATTATAATCAAGTACTTAACGTGCGTTAGTTTAGTACTTTTAAGCATGACAAAAGATTATTAAAACAATTTAAATTTACTTTAAAGTAAAACACTTTTTTATAATTAGACATTATTACAAAGTGCACTTTTTAAAAATGTGTTAAGAAACAGTGATTAAAGTGTACTCTAAGTAGTGGCCTTTTATTTTATTAATATTAAATTATCTGCAAGTCCAGTTTTTAAGATTTGAATTGTATCAATGAACTGCTTTAACGGAGTCATTTAAATCATTGTTTATAAGTGTTCCTGAATGTCTTTGTCCAAGTTATACAGATACAGCTCCAAACTCACAGTTTTACTCCTAAAAGAAAGCTCTCCTTTACAGTGATTTATAAAGGCTTTGCAGAGTGGTTAAACCAATTAAATTATTATAAAGTATGAAGGTATAAAGTTAAAACAACAACAACAACAAAACGATTTGATTACAAATCATCATTACATATTGGACTTACCTATTAAGGGTACAGAGTCGGATGTCGCCGGCATTATCTCTGCTACCAGAAGCATGAAAACTGTCAGTGAGAGCAGGACTGTGATCCCTGACAATAATACAAAATATATATATTACTCCCTCCAACACTGTGACAGTTTTCATATGAAATCACAACACTGAAGACAGATAAAGGTGAAGCTTGCTTGGGTTAGTGCTCAAAAGAGCTATTTTAACTCTCTGAATAGTTTTAGCATCTAGGCAGGTGGAGCTGGGGAGGTGGAGGGTCTCAGAGGAGCTCTGATAGCACTGCAGGACCAGTGAACACTGAACCAGACTATTGAAATGATGAGTAGGGCTGTCAAAATTGCTCAAAAATGACGTTCGAATATTCCCTCTAAAAAAAACACATATATTCCAACTATTTGAACATCTGGTTGCGCATTTTGTCAATAACAGGACAAATTAATATACAAAGTGAGATACTTGTATAGGTAGTTTATTTAAGTTTAAACATATTTGACAACGTCTTAATTTACACAAAAACAAGTAAATCAACTAATGGCCAAGACCGCAGACCTTACTCTCGCTCGCACTCGCAGGCACTCACTCTCTCTCTCTCTCTCTCTCGCCCCTCAGCTCACGCTGTCTGCGCATAACGGTTTAAATGAACAACAATTAACAAATGTTGAGTGCTGATCAAGAGTTTTGTGCAAGCAATTTAAGGTCGCGACTCTTGTCCTAAATATAGCAGGCTTCATTCAGTGATTGAAACAAATATTATTAACATTAATTGAAGTTTTACAGTATATAGAACCGACATTGAACGCTCCGAGCGAGCTGTGCTGCGGCTATTTCGGGGCGGGCTCTGACGTGTATGATGTAATGCTAGCTCATTGGCGCACACGTTGGAGGCGCCCGTCCCATTGGATGTGCAGCTGCCGCAGCACAGCCAATGAGTAAGCCAGACACTCACTGTGCTAGCTGTGCTCAAGGGGGTAATCCATCGACCGGAAGTTGAAGCCGGCCGGGTGCCGCCATGTTGTAGCAGAACTTCACTTGCGTTAGCATTTCCATTGACTCCCATTCATTTTGGCGTCACTTTGACAGCGAATAACTTTACATCTGAGGCGTTTAAAGACTCCATTTGTCCATTATTTATTTCTAAAGAAACACGACAATGTATAAAGGGCTCCATTACCTTCTATGTTACATTATGGCCCCGTAGAAACAGATTTTGTAAAAATAGGCTAACGTTTGCATCATAACCATTCGACTCTCTGTCGCGCTGTACAGAAATTACCGTACAGACAGGAGGAGAAGCTCGCAGGCAATCAGGGGGACGTCCCGTCAAGGGAGAAGCCCATAGATAATGAGTCCATAAAAGCAACGGAAAACTTACTCCTGCTCACTCACGCCAAAGAACTCTTTGCTCAAGTTCCCCGTCTCTGCAAGATTAATGTTGGCAATTTTCACGCACAGCTACTAGAAGATTTACGTCTGTCAGACAGGTTGCTCACGTCATCAAGCTTAGTTTGAGTCTGTTTGAGTCTGCGCGTCAGGAACGGAAGTGCTCAAAAATCGCTAAAAATGGGCTTCAACTGTCTCAACTGAGTTCCAATGAGATGGCTCTGTCCACTTCTTATACTGTCTATGGCTGTGCTGCTGGAAAATGCGTTTTACATTTTAAGCTTCAGAATTTTTCCACTCGCAAAGCAGACAGCCGCGCCTCTATCGCGGGCGTGTTTTTCCACATTCGAATTTAAATTTTCACCTTCGAAGTTCTGTTTTTTAAAACTATTCGAATATATATTCGAATTTAGAATATTCGTTGACAGCCCTAATGATGAGCAAGCAATCTCATTGGCTGGAGAATTAGCAGAGGCCAATCAGCTTGTGCCATGCAGTAATGATGTGATTCACGGGCGTAATTTCCTATGGGGACAGGGGGGACATGTCCCCCCCACTTTTCAAAATGCCGTTTGTGTCCCCCCTACTTTCAAGTTCGTTTGTTATGATTTTTTTAACCGCACGCCGTCATCGCCACGGAGGTGCAGGAGATAGTCTGTGCGATGCGCGCGTCCGCGTCCACACACGTCGCGTCCACACACCATAGTCTACACTCTAAACTCATAGCTCACTGAAAGTTCTAATAAACAGGTATCGCGCTTATTCAAGCGTGAAAGAGAACTGTTCACAGACAGCGCTCCAGAATCCAGTTCTCTTTCGCGCTTGAATAATAACACACACATTTATGCCAAAATGTCCGTTTTGTCAATTGTATCCTCACAAGAACAGTCATAAATGAGTAAAATAAAATCTTAAATGAACGTCAAGAGTAAATGAGAAAATTAAATGCGAAAGATCCTATCATCAGCGACAGATCTTAAAGGGACAGCAGCCAATTCTCTCTGTCAGTAAATCTGACCTAAGAACAAAGGGGAATAGAGCAAATTACTCACTGATCTTGTCTAAAGAACGTTTGTAGCTTTAATAAGGATTAATCTATATATAATTTATCATTTATGCAGTGCAGACTATTTGATAACCTTATTCAATTTCTGTATATTTCGTACCTGTTAGACAGGAAGCGCACAGGTAAATATGACATTTATTATGGGTTTATGTGAGGATTGTTTAAAGTTCACTTAAATTAAAAGTTATATTTTTGAAGCCTAATAAATGTTTCAAATTTGGGGGGGAAAATCCTTTTCATCAAGACATCAGTAGCTATATTAATATCAATGATACTGGCCTTCATTCATAAAAAGATGCTATTAAACAATTATTAAAAATATACTGTCTTTATGTTGTTTTTACATTACAGTGGAAATTGGGTCTCACATAATTTCAATTTTATTTACACACAAAACATTAAAGGCACAATATGTAAGAATTTTTCGCCACAAGAGGGCGCAGTTTCCAACCATAACAAAGGCGTAGGTTGATGACGCAGTGATGAGCTGAATGATGGGACTTGCTGTCAAGCTGATGGATCTAATAATGTTTATGGATGAGTGCAAACATTCATGTTTTCTAACATTACAGTGGTATGAAGCAGGCCTTGATTGCTAAAGAGACAGATATCACACGCGAGTCCCGCGGATATAAAGGAATAAGGGCATTTAATTCTACCGAACTACCCGCAAGTGCTGGATTACTCACACAGGTCAGTTTATTAGACGAATTAAACTTGTGAGGTAACGCAGCGCTGCTTCACTTGGTCTAACGTTACACTATCACACTAAACAGCATTTAAATGTGTGTTGAAAGTTATAATGTTATACTACGTGTTAGTTTGTTTGCTATACGAAACTAGCAGTAAGCTAGATCAACATTAGAATAACATACTGACCATATTTACATTTACATTTATTCATTTAGCAGACGCTTTTATCCAAAGCGACTTACAAATGAGAACAATAGAAGCAGTTAAACTAACAGTAGGACAACAATACGTAAGTGCTATAACCCCTCTCAGTTTAATTTTAGTGCAGTTTTTTTTTTTTTTTTTTTTTTTGAATAGAAGAGTGTTAATAAAAGAGAAAGTGTTAATTCTACTGAATCAAGTGAATTAATTATTTCCATATTCTAACATTTCATCATGTTGAGCTAACGTTATAACATTGATTTGTTTTATGTACATTTCCTCACCTGTCTAATAAAGCTGTCAAGTCGTGACTCGTGAAGCTCTGTCGAGTCCAAGTTAGTCGCGGACGTGGAGCTCTCGGCATCTCAAAAACGCCACGCTGATATTGATCCTCATTTTAGTTCTCCTTGTTTGTCCCAAAGTCTGCTTGCCATGGATAGTCTATGTTTGAACGAAACAAGAACTGCGTGCCGCCAGAGAATGACGGGCTCTGGTGCCGCTAAACGTTACGGACTACGCAGTTGTCCACGTCTGTCGCCATGGTTACGTCATGCTGTGGCAGAACGGAAACCGAGGATAGCGCTGATATTGCGTAATTGACAGGCGACATTTTTTTCCTGGACGGCCACTTATTTAAAATGTGAATTTCTCTGAAATAAAAAATCTTTAGAGACTTTTGGGATATTGTAAGTACACAACTGCAGGAAATATATCACACTGTGCAAGTGATTTTTGGATATTTTATTAAAAAATTCTTACATATTGTGCCTTTAATGATGAAAAATTTTGACTTTATAAAATGATTCTCTCAAGTCTTGGCAATCGGCCCCTATTAAACAATAAAAAAGTAAGGAATTTTTTGGTTATACATAGTTTAGTAGCCTACTTTTATTTTTGGCAGAATTTATCATTATAATCAACTTAATTATTTCCTGGATTTTGTATCACCATTGTCCCTAAATGTATGTAAATGCAGGAAATGGGATTCAAATCGTAAAAAAATTTCCCCCATTTTGTTTCCCCCCCACTTCTCAAACCAAAGTTACACCCTTGATGTGATTGCTTGCAGATTGCATGTAAAGGACCGATCAGCCTGTGCCATCTAGAGTTTCACTGAACTAGATACATGTATGTATATACATATGCATCTAATATGCGAGTTTGAAACAGCTAGTGTACACTATAATATTTGTCTATACAGTAACTGTCAAAAAAAAAAACAGACCCACTATGAGAAATATTCAATTAGAGGAAATATGTGACAACTAGTCCCATATAGTGTATTACTGTCAAGATGATCCAAGAGAATGCAAAAAAGCAGTCAGGCTTAAATCATATTTTGGTTACTATAAAATATCATAATTTAGTGTCCTAATCACAGTAGATAAGATAAAATAAGAAGAGCTATATCAGATGAAACTTAAATGTACTGTCGTTATTGCTGGTATTTAGAGTATTGATCTTGAATAACTCTCAGAGCAACGGCCAACGACTCACTCTGTGCAAAGTAATGTTGGCAGCTTCATCACACTAATACCATTTAGGAATGACAAAATGAAAAAAATAAATCGTGTTCTGCTGTGATTTGAGGTTCAGTCTCTTCCAGAGCGCTCCCTCACTCACTGTGGCAGGATCCTTTACAATAAATCCAGCAGGCCTGATAAACAGAGGCATTGGTCCTTCAGAGCTCTCCGACTGCATCAATCTCACTACACGCCACTTACAGTAGCTTACAGCGATGGCCGCATAAATCGTGTGCCTGTGCCAAAGTGAATTTCATTTGGTGTTGGTTTAAATGTGGAAATTTCACTAAGTCAGCAAAAAAGGAAGGATAAGTCTGCCGATGTGAGAAATAAAATGATTTTTAAAATGGCAAATGTGACATTTATGCTCTTATGTTTACAGCCGTATAAGAGTGAGGCTCACATAATAAACCCCTTTAAAGGGATACTCCACTTTTTTTGGAAATAGGCTCATTTTACAACTCCCCCAGAGTTAAACTGTTGAGTTTTACCGTTTTTGAATCCATTCAGCCGATCTCCGGTTCTGGCGGTACCACTTTTAGCATAGCTTAGCATACATCATTGAAGTGGACGAGACCATTAGCATTTCTCAAACAAAAATCACCAAAGGGTTTCGATATTTTTCCCATTTAAAACTTGACTCTTCTGTAGTTACATCGTGCACTAAGACCGACGGAAAATGTAAAGTTGTGATTTTCTAGGCTGATATGGCTAGGAACTATACTCTCATTCATATCATTACGCCTGCTGCACTCATGGTACGGCAGTAAAGTTTCTTGATTATTACGCAGGAATGAGAGTATAGTTCCTAGCCATATCAGCCTAGAAAATCGCAACTTTACATTTTCCGTCGGTCTTAGTGCACGATGTAACTACAGAAGAGTCAAGTTTTAAATAGGAAAAATATCGAAACTCTTTGGTGATTTTTGTTTGAGAACTGCTAATGGTCTTGTCCACTTCAATGATGTATGCTAAGCTATGCTAAAAGTGGTAACGCCAGAACCGGAGATCGGCTGAATGGATTTAAAAACGGTAAAACTCAACAGTTTAACTCTGGGGGAGTTGTAAAATGAGCCTATTTCCAAAAAAAAGTGGAGTATCCCTTTAAAGGTGAAGTGCGTAATTTCTTTTAAAAGCTGCTTTTCCACCAAAGGAGGAGGAAATTGAAACCGAACGCAATGGAACGGTTAAGCAACGAAAACGGTTTGGCCTGATGGTGGAAATGCGGCTCATGTCTTGATGATTTCCCACGTGGAGTGGAAGGTAGAAACTAGAGATGCGCATGTATGAACATTTTGGCCGATACCGATAATTCTTTAGATTTGAAAGCCGATAACCGATATATTAGCTGATAAATCTTTTTTACAGCCTAATTACAAAAACATAAATCTCACCATTAAAAGCCATGTCTCAAACACACAATTACAATGTTCTTATTATAATTTTATACAGCCGATATGACAGACTTGCGCTGCACATGTTGCACTTTACTGCATTTTTCCTTTTTTTACGTGATTCCAATCATATTTCAAGCAATGCAAAACCATCATGTTGAACAGTGCGCATCTGAGGCGTCTCAGCTGAAGGAAATAATACATTACTTATCGGCTTTAATATATCAGCCAAATTTTCTTATCGGGATGATAACAGACGATACCGATATGGTGGCCGATATATCTTGCGTCCCTTGTAGAAACTCTGTTTTTCCTTCCCAAAAATTCAAGGCAAGGATGTTTAGGAAAGCATGACATCTCAAACTAATTACAGAGTTGTAAATCCACACTTGAATGAACACAATTCATTAACATTTTAAAATGATGACAGAGTGTCTATCTCACCGAGAGAGATCTTCTCTCCCGAGTCGGCCGGCAACAGGAAGACGAGCAGAGCCAGAGTGGAGATGAGCACACAGGGAATGAGCAGATTCAGACCGTAGTACAGCGTCCGTCTCCGCATCACCACGGTGAACGTCACATCTGGGTACGGCTCCTTGCAGCAGTCGTAGAATTTCTCATTCCTTCGACCTGGAACCTCTGAGTCACAGATAAGTGGTAACCTTATAAAGTTAATGTTTTGTGCAATGACCATTCAAACTTGTTACTGTACATTCACATTGTTTCTGGGCTGTGACTGTCACAAGGTTTAAGGTCAGTGCACCAATACTTAATATCGCCATAAATAGAAAGTGTAATGTGATAATGTCATAGTTAAAGGGTTAGTTCACCCAAAAATTAAAATGATGTCATTAATGACTCTCCCTCATGTCGTCCCAAGCCCGTAAGACCTCCGTTCATCTTCATAACACAGTTTAAGATATTTTAGATTTAGTCCGAGAGCTTTCTGTCCCTTCATTGTAAATGTGTGTACGGTATACTGTCCTTGTCCAGAAAGGAAATAAAGACATCATCAAAGTAGTCCATGTGACATCAGTGGGTTAGTTAGAGTGTGTTGAAGCATCGAAAATACATTTTGGTCCAAAAATAACAAAAACTAGGACTTTATTCAGCATTGTATTGTCTTCCGGTTCTGTTGTGGATCCGCATTCAGTGCCGCCGCTGACGTAAGACGCTGCTGACGTGTGTCTGGTGTGTGTGTGTGTGTGTGTGTGTGTGTGTGTGTGACGTAAGACGCTGCTGACGTGTGTCTGGTGTGTGTGTGTGTGTGTATTCCGGTTCTGTTGTGGATCCGCGTTCAGTGACGACGCTGACGTGTGTCTGGTGTGTGTGTGTGTGTGTGTGTGTGTGTGTGTGTGTGTGTGTGTGTGTGTGTGTGTGTATTCCGGTTCTGTTGTGGATCCGCGTTCGGTGACGCCGCTGACGTAAGACGCTGCTGACGTGTGTCTGGTGTGTGTGTGTGTGTGACGTAAGACGCTGCTGACGTGTGTCTGGTGTGTGTGTGTGTGTGACGTAAGACGCTGCTGACGTGTGTCTGGTGCGCCTGAGCTTCGTTCACAGTCTGAGGGAGACGCACGCTGGAAACAAAACAATCTTCCCAAACATGTCTAAGGATTTCCACACAGAGGAAGACTTTATGACCATATTTATTTGAACCCGAATACACGGACGCACCAGACACACGTCAGCAGCGTCTTACGTCAGCGGCGTCACTGAACGCGGATCCACAACAGAACCCGAATACACACACACACACACACACACACACACACACCAGACACACGTCAGCAGCGTCTTACGTCAGCGGCGGCACTGAACGCGGATCCACAACAGAACCTGAACACACACACACACACACACACACCAGACACACGTCAGCAGCGTCTTACGTCAGCAGCGGCACTGAACGCGGATCCACAACAGAACCTGAACACACACACACACACACACACACCAGACACACGTCAGCAGCGTCTTACGTCAGCGGCGGCACTGAACGCGGATCCACAACAGAACCGGAAGACAATACAATGCTGAATAAAGTCCTAGTTTTTGTTATTTTTGGACCAAAATGTATTTTCGATGCTTCAACACATTCTAACTAACCCACTGATGTCACATGGACTACTTTGATGATGTCTTTATTTCCTTTCTGGACAAGGACAGTATACCGTACACACATTTACAATGAAGGGACAGAAAGCTCTCGGACTAAATCTAAAATATCTTAAACTGTGTTCTGAAGATGAACGGAGGTCTTACGGGCTTGAGACGACATGAGGGAGAGTCATTTATGACATAATTTTCATTTTTGGGTGAACTAACCCTTTAAACAACCCAACCCCTCCCCGAAAGAAGTAAACTTTAGCAAACTTAAAAAAAAAAAAGAGTAGGGTACAACAGGGCTAAAGGCGCACCAGGGTAAAAGGCACATTCGACTGTATTCTCTTTTAAACCACTAGACGTTTTGCTGAATGAAACTTACCCACATAAGTGTTGATAAAAAAAAAAAAGAATGCATGAATCTACTGTAGAATAAAACTTTTTTTTTTTTTTTTTTAAAGCAGAGGGGCTGTTCTTTCTTTTGATGTATTGCATGTTAAAATTAGAATCAAGTACTTTGGCATGTTAGTCAACGTGTCAAGAAAGTGTCAAGCGTCTTTAAACAAAATGCATTTTAGAGTAAACTTTTCATTTTAAAACATTATTACAAAAGTGCACTTTTTAAAGAAACAGTTATGAAAGTGTACTCTCTTACATAACTTTTAATTTGATTAATATTATATTATCTACAAGTATAATTTTTGAAATAGATTTTAATGGCACAAGTGCACTTCTTTTTCACAAGGGAAGTCTCAGTAAGGAAAGCAATAAAATACCAATAACAACATGCATCATTTTTTTTTTTTTTTTTTTTTTTACAGTACATCACCTTACCCACAAGGTCCCACTCTCCATTAGCGATATATCCTGTGATGTCAGCATCAATCATCTGCAGGTCCAGAGACCACCCGCCATACGTCCAGGAGCCGAATTTCAGATCACACCTCTGAAGGTCAAAGGGGAACCAGCGGACATCGATGTAGCAGGTGCTCTTGAATATCCCTGTGAACATAAATGTGATTTTCAGTGGAGGGAAATCTTCATCTGAGAGCACTTTAAGCCATAATAGTACTAACTATAATAAAAAAAACAAATGCTTATCATTGATCATCACTACTATTATTATTATAAATTTACATCTCATGCAAAAATGTGAAAATTCGATTTATATGAACCATAACAGTGATGAAAATGAACATTTGGGGAACTGTTCAATGAGGCGGCTGCCACAACATAAATTGAAGGTGCCAGTAAAGACATACGCATGTAATTTAGCATGGATGCCTCAGTGCTTTCATTCCCATAAAGCATAACTAGGCTTCTGATAAAGCTTTGTGGAGGTTCAGGAGAAGGCAATCTCTTTAATGTCACTACATCGAGAATTTACTGCAAACTCACTGCCAGGACTACATCTCCTCATGAATCAAATGTCTACCTCGGGATAGAGCCGGCTCCAGCTTTCACAGCGAGAAACAAGAGGAGAAAACTAAATGAAGTAGTGGAGGCGAATGCTGAACGGGCAAATCTACATTCACATCAAAGAGGTTATCACAACTACGTAACTTTTGGCCAATACAAAAGTGGTTTTGGATTTCATTCTTCTGACACTTACTGATGTGGATGCAGCATCATGCTAAAGCAAAGCATTATTGCATAAATATCCAATTTGTCATACATGATTATTTGTCACTATTTTATTTCCACAACAAAAAAGTGTTATAATAAGCTCAGCGGTGGCCTTAAAGGGATACTCCACTTTTTTTGGAAATAGGCTCATTTTACAACTCCCCCAGAGTTAAACTGTTGAGTTTTACCGTTTTTGAATCCATTCAGCCGATCTCCGGTTCTGGCGGTACCACTTTTAGCATAGCTTAGCATACATCATTGAAGTGGACAAGACCATTAGCATTTCTAAAAAAAAAATGACCAAAGAGTTTCGATATTTTTCCTATTTAAAACTTCTGTAGCTACATTGTGCACTAAGACCGACGGAAAATGTGAAGTTGCGATTTTCTAGGCTGATATGGCTAGGAACTATACTCTCATTCCTGCGTAATAATCAAGAAACTTTACTGCCGTACCATGCGTTCAGCAGGCGCAGGCACTTAGTCCCGGTCACGTTGGAAGTTACCGAGCTGGGGACTATTTTCAGGCGCTGCGTCATATAATTGCGCCTGCTGCTGCATATGCTAAGCTATGCTAAAAGTGGTACCGTCAGAACCGGAGATCGGCTGAATGGATTCAAAAACGGTAAAACTCAACAGTTTAACTCTGGGGGAGTTGTAAAATAAGCCTATTTCCAAAAAAAGTGGAGTATCCCTTTAAGCAAGGATTCCTGTTGGTTTGCATCAATGGTATATTATTTTATTACGTGCACTTTCAGCTTCATGAACAGGCAGCTCAACATAGAAATAATCCAACCTTATTTGATTAAAACTATATACAATTATACAGCGTTTTACGTTGGAATAATGCCGCGTTCCAGGCAACCTGTAACCCGTGTTTTTCCAACCTTATACCCGTGAAAGTGCACTGGAACGGCAGTCAAAGCCGTGACTTCCCACCCGTGAATTCGTACTAGATCGATGTACTCCCAGTTACGAGTTGAAAAAACACGGGTTACAGGTTGCCTGGAACGCAGCATAAGCCTCGCCCTTTCACGCAGGGCAACTTCACTTCACTTTTGGTAGACTGAATAAAGCTTTTCTTTTGTTGTCCGATATCTTTTGTTTTTCAGCACCACTGGCATATGTACGTTTCATTTCCAGCTCAAAATAACATTTTAACCTAACGGCAAAAAAGGCAAGGAATAGGCACCAATATTATAGTTCAGATCGCTTAAGCCGTTCGCGGGGGTGGGAAACGTCGCCATGGTAACCGCGAGTTTGACCAATCAGAGACGTCATGTGTTTTGCTTAGAATTGTGGGTAGTGTAGTATTTCTCCAGAAGATTGCAAATAACAAGGTTGATTTCATACCTTGTGGCTTTTATAGGAGCAGAATGGTTTAGAATGGTTTAGACCTTGAATGGTTTAGACATTATGGCTGAAAATCAATATCCTACGCTACGGAGAAAATGAATGGGATTTTGCTGGTCTGTTGGGGACCCCCTTGGAGGGCGGGGCCTGTTTCAATAGAAACGGGTGAAACATATAGGTCAGGCCGCCCCTGAATAAGCTTATCGAGATTGAGTAGTGATGCGTTTCTGCCAGGTAATTGTGACTTTACACAGTTTAGCCTATTTTAGTGTGTTCACATTCGTCAAGTTTGGTTCCACTAAAACAAACTTGGGTGTTCGATTAAGGGTGTGTTCACACTTGTAGTTCGGTTCTCTTGGTTCGGTCAGGACAAAAAAAAAAAAGTGTAAAAAAAGTTGTTTTGTATCTTTAGGGTTGGTGTTAAAAATGACTGTGAATGTTAAGTGAACCAGCACTAAATGTATATCCTATTATTTTCTTCTTTGGTCCGGATCAAGAGAACCAAACTGTAAGTGCGAACTGCGAACACATCCTAAGTTGTGACTTTGTTCATTGTGACTTTACCCCTTATTTTAAATTTTATATTACAAGTACCCATTTTATTTGTTCATTCTGTGCTTGAAATGGGCGTCCACAGCAATCCAACTGTTGTAGAATATAATTTTTTTTCTAGACCAAGTGGTAAATATGACATGTGGCACCACACACATCTGAACAGTACCTGGTGGGAGGTATTGGCAGGCACCAGAGGAGTTCACCAGCACATTAGTGTGAAATGTGGCGTCAAACCTTTCATCGGCACTGTGGAGAACACAAGACTCATTTTAACACAAGAGTGTGAGACATGAACATCTCAGGGGAACACTTAGAAACACTTCTGATAAGTCCAATGCAAAGTAAATGCAATTTTTAAGCACAGGATTTCTGGAAAATGTCAAATTAAAATTGCCTTGCAGTTTCAATTTCACAAATGTGTTCGTCTACATTAATTCTCATTCAGGTAATGGAGGCATGTTCAAGAATAAAGAATTCAGTCTCAGAAATCCCTGAGGAAAACACCATGATTGTCCGGACCAACACAACCAATACATAAATCAAATGAAATTGCAACTTTGCACCAGTGGTCAAATTTGATTGCATTTTAGCTTCCATTTTCGTGATTCACCGACCTGATTTATTTGACCTCAAAGTAGAGGCGAATTCTGCATTTTCTGTGGCAGATTCTACTACATCTACTCCTGCTTTTCCAGACAGGAACAAATGAGGCCAAACCTTTTTTCCATGACACAGTGCAAACTCAGTGTCCATTCCCAGCACTTCTTTCCAGGCAATTTACCACTCTTCAAGAAGTCCTTCATGTACAGGATTTACACTTGAAAAGCTACGTTTGGTTTTTATGGAACCCTTTTCTTGCTAATGATACGTATGAATTTTTCGATATCTCCCTGTGTAAAGAACAAACCTGTTATAAAGTAAGATGTCAGGCTTCCAGATCTGACTGTCAGGGAATCTCACATTCGTCACTCCAGGATATTCAGAGGAGTTCCACTGAAGATAGTAGTCATACCAGTACTAAGATATAGAGACAAACTGCAGGTCACATAACGCACAGAAGTCAAACTTTAAAATGTGTGATTGGTGCAAACTGAATTAGGCATGTGAACTTGAATCTGAACCCGAATCAAATGTCAAATGCCCTTCAGAATCTAAAGAGCTTAGGGCAGATATATTACTGTATTCAGGAAACATGACCACGAATTATAATGCATAAATTCTGTTAAGAATTATTTTATGGAGCAAAGTCAAGAACTTGCTGAGATCTTCTAACACCGTTAATAAGGTATTCAAATTCATTGGCACACCATACAGAATATATATACTGTATATATACACACACACACAAGTATATCCACATACATAGATTATAGTCATGTAAAACAGCATGTGAATCTCAAGTGCTTGATTGCTTGTATCATCACAAAATGTAAAGAATATTATCGCTTAAGTGTGACTACAAGGCATTAAGATTTTATGAACATTAAACATGACTTTCTGAAAGCTGCTTTGAAAGATGTGTATTGTGAAAGCGTTTGACGTGTGTGTTGTTGTCTTACCAGCTGCAACCAAATGTTGGTTGTAAGTACTTGGTTCTTCTCATCCTGTAGATGGACAAAGATGCACCGATAAGATAAAAACTGAGAAAAAACGCTTCCAAGACATGTTTTAAAATCATAATTTACATAGTCTTAACTCTTCAGACAAGGGTCAAGAAGAGTACACTTTAGCATATTTTTACTGAAATAATATACTTAATAAAATATATAAGTGAGAACTGGATGTAATGTTTTCACACACTAAATTGCACATTAACTGCAAATAAATGAAAATATATTATAGTTTATTATATTATATGTTTTAAGTTATCTGGATTACAGATTGAAAGATATTAAAATCAACTGAAATTATAGAAGTCAGGGTAGCATCATATTTAATTTTTGACAGGAATTAAAAACAGGCTGTCAGGGATACAAATATGGATTGTACTGTTGTTTAAGAAAATGCCAGTTGTTTAGCTGATGAAACATCTTTCAGTATTGGCAAAAACTCCATGAAAGAGTTGAATGATGGGGAAAATTATGTGGAAGTGATCAGAAACAATTCAATGGTACATCGGGGTATTAATTTTATACATTATACATATTATAAATCTCTTTTAAATTAGCATGGCACAAAAATTCAGCACTTTTCTTAACAATCACTTTTGAAATTTGACTGATACGCGATCGCGAAGTTGATTCTGAGGCTAATTTGATGTAATATTTAATGTTTTAAAAAATATTTTAGATTTGTGTGACATAAAAATTGTTGTCTATATTTTGAGACAAAGGTCTTGTTAATGATTTTCAGTTCTGTTCAAGGTAATAAAAGCAACAGTTTTTCAATAACAGAAGAATATGTTAAAGTATGGTATTTGGGGTAAAAGGCACAAAATACCTTTTTTGGACTTTTCCAGTTGTTGACATGACAGATTCAGATGGGAAATATCATATATTAAGTTGGGTTTCTACCTTAGAGATAATCACCACATTTATAATGAAACCATCATATTGGAATGCTTTCAGAATCGTTACTTTACTTTTTAAATATTTTATTTTATTAAGTAGTCCATGTGACATCAGTGGCTTAGTTAGAATGTTTTGAAGCATCGAAAATACATTTTGGTCCAAAAATAACAAAAACTAGGACTTTATTCAGCATTGTATTGTCTTCCGGTTCTGTTGTGGATCCGCGTTCAGTGCCGCCGCTGACGTAAGACGCTGCTGACGTGTGTGCGTCACTTCGGAATGGTCCGAAATTTGGTGACTTTGTTGGTACTTGGTATATGAACACCCAAAAAAATTGGGGACAGGATTTGAATAGTCTAAGTGGTTCTAAAAAAATGGTTACATTTAGGACCTTCGGGTCCAAATGGACCCGCATAGGAAATGAATGGGAAATTGGCAAAAATGTGAAAATACAGAGTTTTTTTGTGCGTACAATCTACAAATTAGCCACGATCCAGAAAAAAAAAGCACACAACAGTGAAGGGGTGAATCTATAAAACATCAAGAGTGCAAAACAGACACATCCACACACACACAAACACACTTTTATACACATACACACTAATAAATTCAGATTACATATGGGTTTTGAATTTTTAAAATGCTCAGTTTGTCCACCAGATGGCATCCATCTCATTTCAAAAATTGCTTTCATGAGGCCTAGGCTTGACTCTTAAATGAAATACAGCTAAAAAAAAAAAAAAAAAAAAATTCTATTATATTTAATGGGGAAAAAATGCAGTAGCACCTCAATGCAGTACATAAGATCCACGGGGAGGAGTCGGATCATGATCCAAGGGGTGGAGATGGGTAGGATTAGGGGTGGGTTTAGGGATTAGGGGTGTGTTTAGGGATCAGGGGGCGGAGATGGGTAGGATTAGGGGTGGGTTTAGGGATTAGGGGTGTGTTTAGGGATCAGGGGGCGGAGATGGGTAGGTTTAGGTCTATGTAAGGTGGGAGGAGTTGGATCTGGATCCGACTCCTCCCCGTGGATTTCATGTTCTGCAGTGAGGACCATCTCAAAAAATGGGTCATAATTATTGCATTAATATTAATTATAAATCATTTTTATTTTTGAAATTATCTCAAAACACCAAAAAAGAAAAGAAAAAATATTATAAAAAACAAGTAAAAAAAAAAAGATTTTTTAAAAATAAATATTAGTCCCACCCTTCCGGCCCATTTGGACCCGAAGGTCCTGAGTGTGACTCTAAAATGAAGGACCCCAGAGGGTTAAAGATGTCTATCAGATGTTAGTAAACAGCAGATGCTTTCCAGATGAAGTGATCTTTAACAGACATGTTGCATACGTACCACGTGTGCTATCTGGGAACCCTTTAAGTATTAACTTAAACATTATTAAACGCGTATTATTTTGGCTAGTATTTGTATCAATACTGTGTGTCTTTTGCCCCATGCTGGTTTTACCCCGGGTAAAAGGCCCTCCTCACCACCTCAAACATTTAGAAGATTTTAAACAAACACACAAACAAACAAACAAACAACTTTTATGATTTATTTTCACACTAAATCTGTTGCTCCATCAATATTCAATAAAAACAGACTTGTGATATATAACCTGCTGGCAGAACAAATTTACTAGGATTAACCGAAAGCATCGTTCATGGTCATGCTTTATCCGCCGAATATTCAGTGTTTCATCTCTTATTATTGAATGAATAAACTTACCACGTCCATAATCTGCATGAGACTGAAGGTGAAATACACAGTGAGTGAGTGTGTGTCATTGAACACGGGTCTCTCCAGTGGGTTATAGTCTTTCATCAGGTCTCTGTAGAGTCTCCTCTGATGCTCTCCCTGAAGTGACACTGCCAGAGAACGAACAATGTGACACGGTTGCAGATTTGACCCTCACTGCGAGTGAGTGAGACGTTCAAGAGAAAGAGAGAGAGTGCTGGCGAATCAACAGAGACATTCAGACGAACTCGTATTGATCTGAAACTCTCAGCAAAGCGTTTCTGCTGGGTTTCAGTGATTAAATCTCCAGCAGGACGTCTGACTGATCAGACTCAAGCACTTTCCTTAAAGGGATAGTTCACTTTGAAATTAATTTTTGATATGTTTTAGCTTACCTCAAGGGCATCCAAGATGTAGGTGTCTTTGTGTCCGCAGTATTTTCAATTTTGATATTTTTAGGTCAAACCGTTCTTGTCTGTCAGTCATATAATGCAGGTCTATGGTCACCACCTCAAAGAGCATGCACAGAGAAGTCCAAATTACACATGATTTAATGACTCGTAAATGTAAGTACACATTGATGGCCTAAGACACGAAACGAGCGGTTTGTGTGAGAAAATGATCGGTTTTACCTCTTGTAAACACAGCCACGTCCAAGTGATCTGAGGGCGCCGGCGCTTCGGCCTTTTCCGGCAAGCGCCGGAAGTGATCTCTCTGAAAAAATTCAATGTTGTCTGTTGATATATCGAAATCGTCTTCCATTGTGATTTTTCCTGTATATCTAAATATGTTTAGATCTTCACAGTGAAAGGTATACTTCCGAAATCTCTGTGTAAACAATGAGTGACATACTCACGCGTTAGAGATCACTTGGACCTGGCTGTGTTTACAAGAGGTAAAAACGATATAAATACTGTTCGTTTTCTCACACAAACCGCTCGTTTCGTGTCTTAGGCCATCAATGTGTACTTACATTTACGAGTCATTAAATCATGTTTAATTTGGACTTCTCTGGTCATGCTCTTTGAGGTGGTGACCATAGACCTGCATTATATGACTGACAGACAAGAACGGTTTGACCTAAAAATATCAAAATTGAAAATACTGCGGAAACAAAGACACCTACATCTTGGATGCCCTTGAGGTAAGCTAAAACATACCAAAAATTAATTTCAAAGAGAACTATCCCTTTAAGTAAGCTTTAGCTATTTTTGTTGCCAGATTTGGACAGCAAAGTTAATCAAGATATTCTTTTTTTTTTTTTTTAAGTAAAAAGCAAAGTTAACTCTAGCTTATTTCCTAAAGTTCATTCGCCGCCATCTCTCATCTAGCTAAGGGATCTTTCTCCCAGTGTAATTCACTTAAGATCACATCCATTCATAATGTAATTCCACCGAGGACATCCAGATTACGTCAGGCTTTTCCTTTATTCCACGATGCACCTGTTATTCACCAGAGATGAGAGATCTGCCAATATCAGAGACACATATTGTGCACAAACACAAAGTGTCCAGTGTAACCGCATATTCACGGGCACTAATGGAAGCGCATTTAAAGACTTGCTGAAAAATGGTAACAGAACGAGAACCTAATTATACAGCAAAGACATTGCAATTAGAAAAATAAAGATAAACTAACTCTCATTCTGATCATTATATAAGACACACATAAACTTGCAAATGAACTGCCAACATAAAGCTGTGACCTTACACTTGATCAGACCGGTCAATATTCTGGCTTGTATCCTCATATAAATAAGCATAAAAAAACATCAACCTTATTTGATGTCACAGCTGAAATATTATAATACAAATTCAGCAGACATTTACTGTAACTCTGTAATCTTACAAGTAAGCAGGAACTATTATTGAACATAATTCTACAAAGCTCACATATACTCAAATGTCCATTAGGTTTCTTACCACTCCATAGGCAGGCTGTGGTGGTCAAATAAAGAGTATATTCCCAAATTCCCATGTTTCTATCAAAATTAATTTATTATCTATGTGATGTAGTTTTTTTATTTATTTTTTAGGTCTGTGGTAAAGAATCTCTCGGCATCTCACAGGCAGAAGTGATAGAGTCTCAAACAGCAGCATCAACAAAAGAGCACTAAGCTCCGCCCTCTCCAGCTCTCTCTCTCTCTCTCTCTCTCTCTCTCTCTCTCTCTCTCTCTCTCTCTCTCTCTCTCTCTCTCTCTCTCTCTCTTCAAAATTGCTTTATTGGCATGACTGTACAATTGCCTACTGCCAAAGCTTTGGAATACATAGAATAATTAGAAAGACATCAAAATAGTAAAATATTATAACATCTAAAAGTACAAATTAAATTAATTGTACAAACAGTGTAAAATAAACCTCATGGAGTTGGTTGTCTCACGCACTGAAAATAAATGTGTTGGATTTAGATGATTTAATCATGTACTGTATTAGGTAATTCAAACATTAAGCTTTTAATGTTGTTTATGTGTCTTTGTGGTGTTTTTAATATGCTTTTAGACAAACCATGTGTAAGTCTACGAGTATACTCGAGTATTTTCTCCTTAAAACTGCAGTGAACCAAAGACAGTCTCAAAAACACGGTTTGAAATCGCTGGTGTTTCTGACGTCACAAACGACCTTGTAACCAATCAGATCAAGTGTGATCGTCAACCAGTGTGAATTCTGTGTTTTATGATTTAATACAACTTTATATAAACTTTAACAATTTAATCAAGCTTTTAAAATGTAATCAAATGAAAATGTAACAAATAATTTACAACAAAACATTGCTTTTTTTGTCAAATACTGCACAATAGAACATAATCTTAAAACATGGATTAAAAAAAATTTCTTGGTTGTATGATATTCCTTAGAAATAATAATATTAGTAATGCTTTGAACTTTGATCTGCTGGTGATGACGTAGTACGAGTGTGTGTGATCGTGTGTTAAAGGAACACTCCGACTTTTTGGGACTTTAGCCTATTCACCTTATCCCCCAGAGTTAGATAAGTCCATACATACCTTTTTCATCTCCGTACTGCTACTTGGGCGGAGTGATAACCGCAGCACCTGAGACGCGCTCTCTGCTCCTCACCACGCCGCGTCTCAGGTGCTGCGGTTATCACTCCGCCCAAGTAGCAGTGCTTCGCCTTCAGAGAATATAGTTCCCAGTATTTATACGGTTAAAATATGTCTGTGTCTCATGTGACTTTGTTTTTTGTACACTCTGTGACTATACAAATCACAACATGTAAATAGGAAAATGTTTGCGTTATTTTGTCACTTATTTGGATTAGTATGCTAGCTGCAACCATTTACATCCAGTCTTTGTGCTAAGCTAGGCTAGCGGTGGGTGCGTCAAACAGACTTATAGCACGCACGGAGATGAAAAAGGTATGTATGGACTTATCTAACTCTGGGGGATAAGGTAAATAGGCTTAAGTCCCAAAAAGTCGGAGTGTTCCTTTAAGAGAAACCTTTGACGGTCTTCAGACTGCGAACACAAAGAAGCACGGGACCATTTAAAAGCGTCTTCCTTTCAGCTTGTACCGAATTGAGTCGAAATAGTCTTGGCTATTGGACCCGCAGTTCGCCCGTCCCGATTGATTCCCAAACCACACCGTGACAATGTAAATATTATTCCACCCGTTACATAAAATGTATGCGGTTCACCCGTCGATGTTACGTTTTGAATAGACAAGGAAGAGAGAGAGAATCCAAATGCACAGAGTTTTAATAACAAGAGGCAAACACACACACACACACACACCAATCCTGGAAACTGACAGAGTCCACATAAAGAAACAGGAACATAATCCAAAGACAACGAAGGAGGGAACAAGACCTTCAGGTTCCCCGATGGAGACACAAACGACTCATGCCTCACCACGAAAAGTTTGCTTAGCTTGACACATTTTTTTTCTTTAAGTTTTTAACGACTTTATCTCTTTAGTTTGCATTGTTCACATCATGAATGTCAGATAATAAAAAAAGCGTGGAGGATCAACAGACTCTCATCCTTCACAGCTTAAACATCTTCTTTCGTTTATCTACATATTTCTATTTCTGTGGTTTATTCCCTGAATGTGTTTCTGCATGAAGTTCAGTTTGCATCTTCAGTTCACTGACTCGCATTGGGTGTTTTCATCGCTCACAACAAGTCAAGAGTTGCATAAACTACATAGACTAGGCTCACAATTTGGTCTTCTAATTTGTTGTCTTTAAGGCTGGTTATAACTTTAAGTAAGTTACATACAAACTAAAAACTTTTCACTTAAAAAATGATTTTCCAAAAGTCTTTCTTTTCTTCCACGTCTGTTAAGCTGTCATGAAAGATAACCAGTTTGATTGTAAAAAAAAATATTAGATAAAATAAAATGCATGCAATGTGTGCTAATTGTTCAATAACGACAATTGGTTGCCTTACAGGCTAAGCATTTACATATTTCAATGTGCAATCATTGCATCATCCCATGATCCAAACATAATTTCTCAAAAATAAATCCGTTCATGTCACTGTCTCACAAGCTTAATTCAAATCACCTGAAATTAAATTTGCTAATCTGTTACACGATGTTAATGACATTCGCAAACAGATATGATGGTTTGGTCCCACTTTATAATAACCATGGAATAACATTTGATAATACACTTATTGCGAACATTAATAGGCTATTCTTGTTACCTACTTATACAAAGGCGTTTAGTTAGATTGTTAATGTGATCAAATTTCTTCCACAGAGATACTGAAGCCTATTAGCTTTATAGGAGACAATATTTTCTGTTAAGATAAAAAAGATACAATACCACCAGTAACCAGCAGAGGGAAGTATCAGACTGATGGTTTCATTAGGAGAAAAAACAGATGTCAAGCAGTATCCTGTACATATGGAATACATGATATATCTGTTTTGAACCATTTTTTAAAGTCCCCCTGAGGTGAAAATCCAGCTTTTAATGTTGTTTATATGTCTATGTGGTGTTTTTAATATGCTTTAAGACAATCCATGTGTAAATTCATAAGTCGACAGCATTGCTGAGTATTTTCTCCTTAAAACTGCAGTGAACCAAAGACAGTCTCAAAAACACGGTGTGAAATCGCTGGTGTTTCTGACGTCACAAACGACCTTGTAACCAATCAGATCAACGAGTGATCGTCAACCAGTGGATCTCTAAGCTGAGTGAGTGAGTGGAGGCGGGGCTCATTTGCATATTCATAGAACATTACATTCAAGATATTTTAAGGCATGAAGAATTTTTTTTCAAGGAAAAAACATTTAAATATGTAATTTTGATGATGTTTTAAGGGATACAATTATTTACTACATGGGGGACTTTAAATTTTAAGATGAAAAGTTTGTGTGGATCTTCTATATGAATTTATTCAGTGATTCTGCTGATTCAAATGTTGTTAAATATCTGACATTTAAAATGGTTAAATATCACAAATCAGAGGTAAAAAATCGTACATTTATTGCCTCAAATTTTTATATTATATAACCGTTATATACACACAACCATGCCACAAATAAACAGCATATTAGCATTATGTTTTTTATTTTTTATTAAAAAATTAGTTCACATCAACAATTAAAACTGCCTCACGAGTGGTATATTTCATAATAAACATATTTTGTGTCCAGTAAATAACTCAAAATAAAACTCATATTTATTTATGCATACATTTACTCTATGGTACATTACATTCCCCTTTTCATAAATGTACATATTTTATTCTATGCAGCCTATGTCTTGTATTGATATTTTTGTGTACACTTGCTTTCTACTTAGTATTTCTCCGTGCACAAGACGCGCATCTGTCAACAAGACAAAAGATTCTGTAAAAAAGATTCTATAATAAAAAATTCTATAAAAAGATACTGAAGATGAATGTAGCATTTATCCCTGCTATAATAGACTGTTCCATGTAATGTGTGACAGGTTCTGTTCTATGGAAAAATACAGTAAAAATGTAAATAGTTTCTTGATGTATTCATTTCCATCACTCATTCCGGCTTTGTAGTCATAATAAATTTGTGTTGTAAATGAGGAATGAGAGTGAAAGCACGAGTCTCTGCCCCACGCTGAGTGTCTCATCTGCACATCTGTCACTGTACCTGCAGATCCCAAGACCGAGTCAGTTATTTACCACACACACACACACACACTTTAATATGTGTCATTATGCACACGATTCCTTTGATACACTGTAACATTCAGCGTTTTTTCCTCTTCACAGGGCATCCGAGTACAAATGTGCAAGGAATCTGTTCCAAAACAGAAAAATAGAGAGAACTTGTGTTTCCGAATATGAAAAAGATGAGAAATTGAGATTTATCTATATGAGACAGTGCATTTTATGACTCCAACGGTACCTTTTGAGGCGTATAGTACTGTTACACTTAAGAAAAATATCCATAGAAACACACGTCCTGGTAGAAAATGAAATGAAAGATCAATATGGAAAATTCCCTCGTATTAAAATGGTACATTGGGACATACATTTACAGACTTTTCTTAGTGTGTACAAAGAGTGCAAACATTCATTGATGCTCAAGAAGGCAACACACACACACAAACCATATTAAGTACCAAGAGGATGTAGTCGTTCGTAAACAGGATGATCGGTGTAAATTGTTTGGTTGGAAATATGTAAATATTAATTGGAAGTTCTGAAAGGCAGTTGTAAATCAAAATAAGATCACTTACATTTGCATCAATTCTCTAACAGGTTGAATAAAATTAGGAGACATTTGATTTGCATAAAATTGTATATAACATTATATTATATTACGATGCCCAAAATCAGTGAGTAATCTGCACTATTGTATATGGCACATTTATGGTAAGTATATTTTACACTGTATTTGTATATTCAAGTGCTATAACTAATTGTTTCTTCCTGTCTATTAACCAAAGACTTTAAAAGGATGCGTCCGAAATCGCATACTCTCTTGAGTAGATATTGTGAATAAGTAATTACTTCACAACTGCAAACAATTTAT